GTCTTTTAATTTCATGGCTGCAGTCACCATCTGCAATGATTTTGGAGCCCCAAAAATAAAGTCTGACACTGCTTCCACTGTTTCCCCATCTATTTCCCATGAAGTAATGGGACCAGATGCCATGATCTTAGTTTTCTGAATGTTGAGCTTTAAGCCAACTTTTTCACTCTCCTCTTTCACTTTCATCAAGAGGCTTTTTAGTTCCTCTTCACTTTCTGCCATAAGGGTGGTGTCATCTGCATATCTGAGGTTATTGATATTTCTCCCGGCAATCTTGATTCCAGCTTGTGCTTCATCTAGCCCAGCGTTTCTCATGATGTACTCTGCATATAAGTTAAATAAGCAGGGTGACAATATACAGCCTTGACATACTCCTTTTCCTATTTGGAACCAGTCTGTTGTTCCATGTCCAGCTCTAACTACTGCTTCCTGACCTGCATACAGGTTTCTCAAGAGGTGGGTCAGGTGGTCTGGTATTCCCATCTCTTTCAGAATTTTCCACAGTTTATTGTGATTTTAGAATAGCTCTGTCCAAAAAAGCGTTTTTTAATCTACTAAATTCTTGATTCATTACGGCAACATATAAACACACCCTATGAAAATTAGGTGCCTAGATTTGATTACTTCATGAACATCCTTTCTTTGGGAACCAAATATTTAACTCTCTAAAAGTTCCAGGTGACTGTTGAGCTTTAGTCATATTTTAGATATTATTACCCAGAGATGCACATGATGTCAAACATGTAGAAATAATTGCTTTGAAAAACTTGAATAATGTGCTAGAAAAAAATCATCTGCATAATAAGAGTCAGTGTAGGGGAGGTGAGAGTGATCACAGAGGGGATCCTGTGTGGGGCTGGAAAATAGTCCTGTCTCAACCCCAGCCATTGCCAGGGTCTTGCCCTTTACGTGTGCGGAAGCCCCGTCTGGGCTCTGGGGCAGCGAGCTGTGATCATAGTGATGGTGGCCCTGAGCACAGGGGCCCTATAGCCTCAAGCCTGTGATCACCTGTCTTCTCGGGGAGTCTTCCATTCTCACTCAAGGATGAGCAGGAGTGAGAGGTGAGAGGTGTTTCTGGTGTCATCCTACTGGCTGGTGGCTGTGCTGAGATTTAGCAGATAGGAATTTCATTGTTTACATGTAACCATTTGTAGTGAAAGTGAAAGTCACTCAGATGTGTCCAACTCTGCGACCCCATGGGCTATACAGTCCATGGAATTCTCCAGGCCAGAATACTGGAGTGGATAGCCTTTCCCTTCTCCAGCGGATCTTTCCAACCCAGGGACTGAACCCAGGTGTACCACCTTGCAGGCGGGTTCTCTACCAGCTAAGTCACGAGGGAAGCCCAACCATCCATAGTAGGAGAGGTCAAACCAGTCAATCCTAAAAGAAATCAACCCTGAATATTCACTGAAAGGAACTGATGCTAAAGCTCCAGTGCTTTGGCCACCTGATGTGAAGAGTTGATTCATTGGAAAAGACCCTGATGCTGGGAAAGATTGAAAGCAGGATAAGGGGATGACAGAGGACAAGACAGTTGGATGGCATCACCAACTCGATGCACGTGAGTTTGAGCAAACTCTGGGAGACGGTAAAGGACAGGGAAGCCTGTCATGCTGCAGTCCATGGGGTTACAAAGAGTCAGACTTGAGTTAGCAACTGAACAACAACAAGAACATTATAGTAGATTCTAAACAAACCATCTTGGTTCTTAGAGCCAAAACAGACAGAAACAAATCCCTTCAAACCCCTCAGTGTTAAGAATGGACCACTATGTTATTGTCTTAAGAACTGTTTGTTAATGAAAGAAAAAGAAAGTAATTTTGCCCTGAAGCTGGTTATTTCTATGTGGAAAACAAAAGAAAGGACAAACTAATATGAATATAGAAATTTGTGGAAAAGGAAGCCTGAAAAGAATTTTGTGTGTGATTAAATTTAATTTAATTGAACGAATGCATTTTAATACTGTATTAAAGGTGTAAAATAGTGGAAAACTAAAAGGTATATATTTGTGTGTGTGTTTATAAATATATAGTGTCCAAATACATTTAAGAAAAATGTCTAGTCTATTCAAGAGAAAGCTGTGGGTCATTGTTGTTCAGTCTCTAAGTCGTGTGACCCCATTTTTGACCCCTTGAATTGCAGCACGCCAGTCTTGCTTGTCCTTCACGATCTCCTTGAGTTTGCTCAAATTCATGTCCATTGAGTTGGTGATGCCATCGAGCCATCTCATCCTCTATCACCCGCTTCCCCTCTTGCCCTCAATCTTTCCCAGCTTCAGGGTCATTTCCAGTGAATCAGCTGTTTGCATCAGGTGACCAAAGTATTGGAGCTTCAGCTTCAGCATCAGTCCTTCCAGTGAATATTCAGGGTTGATTTCCTTTAGGACTGACTGGTTTGATCTCCTTGCTGTCCAAGGGATTCTCAAGAGTCTTTTCCAGTAGCACAGTTTGAAAGCATCAATTCTTTCGTGCTCAGCCTTCTTTTTTGGTCCAACTCTCACATAGGTCATTAATAGAAATCAAATGGTGAGGAGCCAGAAAAGTAAGAACCAGTTAGCACAGTGGTCTCTGCCTGAGCCAACCTTTCCATCTTTTAAACAAAAGGAAGAAGAGAAATAATTAAAACAATGCCCAAGGCTGCCTGTAGCATGTTGAGAATAATTCCTCCATTGAGGGCCTGGCTGAGGTCCTCTGGGTCAAAGAAAGTAGAAGTTTCTGTAGAGGAAGGTTTATTTATTTGGGTTTTTGTTTTTGCTCATTGAGAAAGTACTTGGCCAGACACGTGTTTATTTGTGTGTGTGTGTGTGTGTGTGTGTGTGTGTGTGTTGTGTATATTGTGTATATTGTGTTCTGCTTTGGAGATCCAACCAGTCCATACTAAAGGAGATCAGTCCTGGGTGTTCATTGAAAGGGCTGATGCTGAAGCTGAAACTCCAATACTTTGGCCACCTCATGCGAAGAGTTGACTCAATGGAAAAGACCCTGATGCTGGGAGGGATTGGGGGCAGGAGGAGAAGGGGACAACAGAGGATGAGATGGCTGGATGGCATCACCGACTCAATGGACGTGAGTTTGAGTAAACTCCAGGAGTTGGTGATGGACAGGGAGGCCTGGCATCCTGCGATTCATGGGGTCGCGAAGAGTTGGACATGACTGAGCGACTGAACTGAACTAAAGCAGTTAGGCAGTAAACATAATTGATATCTAAAGAAAGAGCAGGGTATGTTTTTTAATTGTTTACTTATTTTGGCTACACTAGATCTTAGGTCTGGCATGTGGGATCTAGTTCCCTGACCAGGGATTGAACCCAGGTCCTCTGCATTGGGAGTGGGGGTTCTTGGCCACTGGACCATCAGGAGAGTCCCAGAGCAGGGTATTTTAATGTTGTGCATGGGGTGAGTTGCTTCTATCCTGTCTGACTCTGTGCAACCCTGTGGACTGTAGTCCGCCAGGCTCCTCTGTCCATGGGTTCTCCCAATAAGAATACTAGAGTGGGTTGCCATGCCCTCTCCAGGGGAATCTTCCCAACCCAGGGATCAAATGCACATCTCTTGTGTCTCCTGCACTGGCAGGCTGGTTCTTTACTACTAGCACCATTTGAGTACCAAGGATGTTTATCAGCCCCACAAGGAGCCGTGTTTGTTCTCCTACAACAAAAAGGCAAACTGAGCCCTACATTACATGTTCTGCCTCTTGTCAGTCACTTAGGCTGATAACAGCTGACCTTTGTGGGATGCTTGATGTGTACAATCATTGGACCAAGTTTGAATGCTTTTGTTCTGGGAGATAGTGAAGGACAGGGAAGCCTGACATGCTGCAGTCCATGGGGTCGCAGAGAGTCAGACATGATTGAGTCAGTGAACAACAACGCTGCAAAGAAGTAGATGGTATCATACCCATTTTACAGAGGGAGAGAGGTCTGCACAGATGTAAGGGACATAAGGAAGATTCAGAATTAGGTTTATCTGTTTAACCGACATAGGCAACAGCAAGACTGCCTCTCTCATCTAAGTCCTCTGAGCCTCTGTGCTCTTATCTCTTAAACTGGAGATCTTACCAATGGAAGCATCAGAAGAACCAGTTTGTTTTTTGCGTGTGTGTGAAAACTTTATGATTTACTAAGCATTTTTCAGAAGTAATATGCCATTATTTACAAATACAAGATTTAAACTAGCAGGCAGCATTTTGTTGTCATAGCATTTACTCATATCTGTTGAGTGTTAAGCAGTTTTGCTAACATGTAATTTATTTTCATACATTATTAAGCTTTATTCAAATACAACATTGATTATTTAGCTAGCTATAAACCAGGCTTCACTTTTCTATCCTAAATTTTTCTTTTCTCCTAAATAGTCATGCTTGAGGGGGCTGAGTAATTTCCAATATATTTGCGTTTGCACAGTAATACATAACACTTACAGATCTTCTGAATACTTTCTCTTTTGGCATGCCCATTGTTTATCAATTTTCTTATGTTTCTCTTACTGCATTAAATCTTAGAGACAAATATGCGTAATGTACGAGATGTGAAATGTTGCTACTATGCAAACAAAAAGTAGTTTAGCTTAATTGCTGATGGTTAATCCATCTCAGACTCCAAGGCCAAATTGAAAGGGCTTTGAAGTCTTACATGAAAACATGATAGATACTATGTATCACCATAAATTAAGCTGATGGATTTTTTTCCCCAGATGATTGCCTTTTTTCCAGGCAAGAATATTGGAGTGGGTTGCCATTTCCTACTCCAGGTTATCTTCCCAACCCAGGAATCGAACCCGCATCTCTTGCATCTCCTGCAATGGCAGGCAGATTCCTAACCACTGCACCATTAGGTCCACTCGATTCAGCCCTTTTTCTAGTTAAAAAGGAGATGGTGAATTGATCACACCCACTCATCATTTACTGAACAGTTATAACAAGCAACATTTTAAAGTGTACCTATTTTAATCATGTTGAAGAGCTTTTTTGGTAACTTGTTTTTCGTTTTGTTCTTCATAGAAACGCTCCAGAGGCCAAGTGCTATTTGATAAAGTCTGTGAACATCTGAATTTGCTAGAAAAAGACTATTTTGGGCTTACATATCGAGATGCTGAAAACCAGAAGGTGAGTAGTTCAAAGCAATAGAGAATCTTCTGGCTTCAGCTGCCCTTCACTGCAAAAAAGTGAACTGAAACTGAATCAGTAGATTGTATTCTCCACCCACCCCTCACGCCCCTCCACCTCACATACACTGTGTGAGGCCCTAAATGCTGTTTATCACCTTATTTCTTCATGAAGGAAATTATCAACAACTTCCTTTAATCTTGAGTCTTTTAGAAACAGTCAGTGTTTCTGCTCTTCATGCTTGAGTTCTTTAGGCTTCCAGAAAAGCATTTTATATAGTGCTTTGGGGAGGGTATGATAATATTTCAGTGGATTTGAGCCACTGAGAATCAAATACATTGATATACAGAAAACATGTTCACTGGATGCCGTTAATTCGTCTTATTACGCTTTCTATATTCTTGCCTCATCACAATATGAGATGTGTCTTGTCTTAGGTATCCAGTCCACCTCCGTAGACTCTTAGAGCTGATGCAGCCTCTTTAGGGCTTTTCCTCACTTATCCTCTCAACCACCTGAAAAATGAGGAAGAAGAAATTGTCTCCTTAATACTGGAAACTGAGCCACCACAATCGTGTTCATAAATGTTACTTCTTTGGTTGTCATTCTGTGAATCATACTTAATCTTGACTGAATTCACTGGATGATGTCTTAACTTCATCATTAAATGCCTGGGTGTTCTGATAAAGAAAATCATAAAGTCTTAAACAAGTGTTCATTTGTTAGGAACGCATTCTAAGAAGGTTCTTTACAATCTATAATCACAGGAGTCACTACGTGGGGGCTGACCGTCTAGGACATCAGTGGGGTCACGTTATACATAGCCAACTCTACATGTTCTCACGTTCTTCATCTGCAGATTCAACCAACAGAAGATCAAAAAATATTTTTTTAGAAAATTCCAGAATGTTCCAAAAGCAGAATTTTTAATTTGCTGGTGTACCAGCAGCTCTTTGTATCGTATTTCCATTGTATTAGGTGTTAGAAATAATCTAGAGATGACTTCAGGTATATGAGGGGATTGCATAGGTTGTGTACAAATACTGTGCCATTTCATGTCAGGGACTTGAGCATTCCCAGATTTCAGTGTCGTCTGGGCCCTGTGATCAATCCTCTTCAGTGACTGGGGGATGGCTCTACCTTCAGTACTTTTCTCCTAATTTGTTTGAACATAGAATCCGCCATCTTTTCTCTGCTGTTTCTATGCTAGCTTGAATCCCTGAAGGCACTTGTGAAATAATTTTGTCCAGCCTCAATCCTGCGCACACACACATCTTCTCATGAGACAACAGCCTGGGCCCTCTTGGGACAAGTGAAGTCAGCTGGACTTATTAGGGGCAGGACCCAGCTGGGGGCCCTTCCGGCAGCCGCTCCCTGCTCCCTCGCAAATGCACTTAGCATGTGTCTCTACCCACTCAACACGAAGTCATTTCTGTTCTTCTCTGATTCATATTCAGACTCTCACTTCTTTTTCAGAACTGGTTGGATCCTGCTAAGGAAATTAAAAAACAGATTCGAAGTAAGTTCCTTTGGATTATTTTGTGTAGAAATGGGAGGAAGATTTTCAAACCATGGGCTTGTCTGAATTAGTATCTCATACCCACGTGGCTGGTGTGGATACAGTATTTTGAAAGACAGATTAAGATCTCAAGTTTTATTTTTGGCAGATTTCTATGGCTCAGATACCCATCACCTGTTATGAATTATTACAACCTGGGGACAAAATGACATGACTTTTGACCTAGTCCCTTGCCTGTACACAGATGTGAGATATGATTTAATCAAGTGGTGCCCCTGTTGACAATCATTTTAAAGTTCCAAACTTAGTTATTAATGTTATATTATGCCTAACCAAAGTATGAAAGGCAAGCAGTCAAGCTAGAAGTAACAGTCATTTAATAACAAGTCAGACTGAATTTTAGTATCTGATGATAGCTTCTTTCCTTAGCCCCTAATGGCAAATTAAGAAATGCACATTTCACATTTCCTAATGGACCAAACAACTACAGGAGCAACACAGAAAGTTTAAAACAGGTAACTACAAGTATTAGACAGGGTGCTAAATCTTAGTAGTAATTAAATGCTAATTAAAATGAGACATTTTTTCACCTATTCAGTGAAAATGACACTGTAGTGTAGGGAGTTGAGAATGAGGAATTTTTTTTAATTTTTAACCCTTTTCTATAGCTGTTGCTTTTTGCTATGGATAAATGGTAAAAGATAGATATACTTTATAGTTTCAAATAACTAGTTACTTTTTTCAAGCAGTTCATTTTTTATCAATAAAACCTAGTTTAATTTTCCAGAGCAAAGATTTTAAAATTTTAATAATTCCCTACACTGGCAATTTTGTACTCAGTTGGGAGAAATATAACCCTTTAAGAAGACACTTTTTGTCAGTATTTATTAGAATTTAAAAGGTACTTATTCTTTGACCCCTAATTTTACTTGTAGAAGTGTTATCAGTGTATGTGTTAGACAGGAGTATGTACATATGTGTGCATGTAGGAAAGTTCATTATAATACCATTGGTATAGCAGAAAACTGTTTCAACTTAAATATCCATGTGTAAGGAAATGATTAAATCAATCATGAAATAGCCATACCTTGAAATACTAGGTAGCTATTAAATAGAATGAGATAGAATAAATATAGTTTTAGCTCTCATTAATGAGACCTTAAAGAAATAAATCATATTTGTTTAAACAGAATTATGCGTAGGGACTTCTCTGGCAGTCCAGTAGCTAAGACTCCACGCTTCCGCTGCAGGGCGTGAGGGTTCAGAGAACTAAGACCCCCATGTGCGGTGCGATACAGTGCAGCAAAACAGAGTTGTATATGTATATATATATATATATATATATATATACATGTATATACATATATGGATTATTGGGAAGAGCATGAATGTTATTAATAGTAAATACCCCCCAGAAATGTCCCTGCAAGGTAAGGGGTTGAGAACAACTAATTTTTTCTTTAATCCTTTTCTGTAGCTGTTGCTTTTTACTATAGGTAAATGGTAAAAGGTAGATATACTTTATAATTTCAAATAACTAGTTAATTTTTTCAAGCAGTTCATTTTTTGTCCATAAAATCTAGTTTAATTTTCCAGAGCAACTGATTCTATTTGGAGACTGAATTTAAGACCAGTTTATTAATAAGAGCATCATTCCCATCGAAGTTTTCAACAGTTTACTATTAAAAGAGAACAGATCTTTCTAGTGCCTTTGAATGTGCTGAGACCTCCAAATACCCTATGTGCAAATAAAAAGTAATTAGTAGTAAGCAGTTTGAAATGGTTTAATGCTAGGTAATATCTCAAAATAGTGGATTTTTCCTTAGATATTAGAGAGCCTGATGAATTATTTGTACAATGAAAATATCTTCACCATATTTTTGAGAGGAATTTAGTGTCATCACTAACAAGAAACTTGATAATGAAGTAGTTTGATAGAAGTAAATTGGGATTGAAACCAGGGAAAGCTACCGGTGTGATAAATAGGTGAAAACACTCCTTTATCCAGAGAGGTCCAGTAAAAACTTTAAGATGATGAATATGTTCTGAGAACCTTTTTATGGAGTTATTAAAAGCAGATGTGCTGAAATATATCTTAGCATTTTGTGTGCTTTATTTAAGTTCTTTGTAGTCACCTAATTAATAAAATACTATTTCATACTTGGGTGATTTATAGTCACAAAGCACTTTGAAAATGTATTAAATGTTCAAGGATAAATCATAGTACTGTTGCAGGAAAGGCTGTATGTATCAACAGGTAGTTTTTTTGCTGTTAATGGAATTCTGTTTTTTTTTCTTTCTCTCTTTATTTCCCATGTATCCCTCCTCCTACCTTTCTTTCTAAGAGACAAGCTAAAGGGACAATCAGACATGAGATTTAAAGGAAATTTTCCTCACGTAGATTAGACAGTGTTTGTGACAGCAACATAAAACCAAGCGATAATCGTGCAGACAAAGGAGGCACTGAAAATTGGGATTTTTGGGAAATGGAATTTGGTGTTTTTTTCTATATTTCTCATTGTTTCCTATGTACTAAATACCTTCTTTCCACCAAAGTTGCATTCTGTTAGTATCAAGGCAGAAAAGTATTATCAGACCTCATGTAATTATTGTACAATCACCTTCTCTTCTAAACACACATAATAAAAGGATATTTCCATTATTTTTATGTTGTAGGCCCACAATAGTTCTCTAGCATGAGATTTTCAAGACAATGGCAATCTAGCTGATAGAGATTTTAAATCACAAATTTATGAGAAATAGAAAATTCTGAGCCTGTAGAGTTTGTTCTTATAAAAAAATTCTTATTCTAGTCATCTTTTATGCCTAACAGATCTAAAATTTCTGAATCTACTATCTTAGGGTATAGTGTATTTACAATATAGTGATTTCATGATATAGAATATATGATAGTCATTTATGCTATAAACGTAGTATATTTAGACATTTTAAGATTTGGCAGGCATAGAAGACTGAAGTTAGAATTTTTGCATAATAATGAATTCTCTTTAGTTTCACAGTTTTCTAATTATCATAAATTTGTAATTTAAAAGCCTATATCAGTGTTATAGAATGTCATTTTTATGCACTGAGACTCTTCCAATTCCGAAGTCTCTAACCAGAGTCATCATTTGAGCAGATTCAGCCTCACAGGCCTATTTATGGCATAACCATAGCTTCTCAGTGATTTGTTCCTACCAAACTCTCTATGGGGATATGTATTTCAGTTTAAATCTGCCCTGCATATTAATTTCAAATTTTATGCCTCATTTCACTGGATTTTTTCCCCTTGATTATGAAATAGATTATATTTTCTTTAAGCTTTCCCACTTTTCAAAATAATGTCCCATGAGACCTCATTGTTATTTGAGTTATAATCTTCAGTTCAGTTCAGTTGCTCAGTTGTGTCTGACTCTTTGAGAACCCATGGACTGCAGCATGCCAGGTTTCCCTGTCCATCACCAACTCCCAGAGCTTGCTCAAACTCATGTCCATTGAGTCAGTGATACTATCTAACCATCTCTTCCTCTGCCACCCCCTTCTCCTCCTGCCCTCAATCTTCCCAGCATCAGGGTCTTTTCCATGAGTCAGCTCTTTGCGTAAGGTGGCCAGAGTATTGGAGCTTCAACTTCAGCATCAGTCCTTCTAGTGAATGTTCAGGGTTGATTTCCTTTAGGATGGACTGTTTGATCTCCTTGTGGAGATCAGAGCTGTGGAGTAGAGTAGAGTGGAGCCTAGAGATTGGCATTTTTACCAAGCCCCTCAGATGCTTCTCAGGTCCACAATCCTTTGAAACTTACTTTCCTGTAATGAGGATTTTTGCATTGAAATATCTTTCTTCTATTTTTATTACCTCTTAGTTTCCAACTTAGAGTGTTTACCCTGAATTTATTATGAGTTTGTTTAATTACATTGCTAAATGATTCATTGGATTCACTTTGAAGTGGATGAAAATTATAAAAGAGCAGTAAATCCATTTCCCATAACTAATCCATTAGCTTTCATTCCAGTTGCCTGGGGGTGAGCCAGCTCCCATTATGAACTTCACCATTGGCAAGTGTTCTGTTTTAGCAGGAAGTGAATAGGAATCAATAGGAGAGTAAAATCAAACCAGATTATTTTTAGAATAACAGGAGGACTTTTTCGAGAACAGGGGGAAAAATAATCACTAAGAATACATTTGATTGACAGATATGTTATGACTTGTAACTCTTAGACCTGGTGTTTTGGGAATATTTTCTGGGTGGTTTAGAAATGACATGAAACACCCAGTAATAGCTGGTCCCATACTAAGTCCTTTATAAGTCAACTTAAGAGGGATCCCTGCCAGGTGGAAGTCTAAATGTAGTATGAGTAATAATGTCAAGAACAAACCAGAATTGATAAATGGACCATGCCATTGATGACAGAAACACAGGTAACCTATGCAGCCTGAGGATGTGATACTCAAGCAAGAGAATAGTGCAAAGGATAGAGCTGGTGCGTATTTATCATGCTGTCATTTTTCTTGTGAATATTTGGGAAGAACTCGGGGAGAGAATGGAGCTTCCAGGAGTCATGGAATGAGGAGGCAAGGTGGGGTGTGTTAGAAGTCTAGGAAAGCGCTTCCCTGGTGGTTCAGTGGTAAAGAATCTGCCTGCCAGTGCAGGAGTCATGGCTTCAATCCCCGGCCCGGGAGAATCCCACGTGCCGAGGAACAACTAAGCCTCTGTGCCATACCTACTGAGCCCGTGCGCCCCAACTAGAGAATAGTGCTCACTCGACACAACTGGAGAAGGCCCACGTGCGGCAACAAAGACCCAGAGCAGTCATAAGTAAAATAAAGAAAGAAAGTCTCGGAAAGTGTTTGAAGCATAAGGGTGGGACTGCAAGGACACGAATCACAGAGCGAAAGGAAGAGTGTGGCTCAGAGGAAAGGCCTCCAGCACCAAAGCTGGGAGACCCCGAGGCTCTTCTCTGCAGCCATTAAGAACCAGCAGGCCCTCGCGGTGTGCTCACTGGGTGGAGAGAGCAAAGGAAAACAGTTCCCAGCCCAGGAGCACCCGGGCCTCCGTAATGTGCCACGTTAAAAGGTCAGACGGAAAGAGCAAGATGAAAATACATGACAGGCTGACCAGAGGAAAGTACATGTTGAAAAGAAGAAAAAATGGTTTGGTTTTTTTTCCACATTTAAGGTCATAAGCCCGGTTAAGTGTATATAGGTAGTGAAAGTGTTAAGCCGCTCAGTCGTGTCCGACTCTCTAAGACCCCATGGACTGTGACCCGCCAGGCTTCTCTGTCCATGGAATTCTCCAGGCAAGAATTCTGGAGTGGGTAGCCATGCCTTTCTCCAGGGAATCTTCCTGACCCAGGGATCGAACCTGGGTCTCCCGCATCACAGGTGGATTCTTTACCTTCTGAGCCAGAGAGGATGAATCAAAGGCAGAGCTCAGGGAGGCTCGTGATGTCTCACATGTGTGTAGACTGGCCCGAGAGCAGGTGCCAGTGAGCTGATGTCTGGTTGACCCACTTCCCCACTGGAGAGGTCAGAAGAGATGCCAGAGGAAGAGGAATGGCAGCCTGCAGTGAGGACCCATCCTGATCAGGGGATGAGGAGGAGGGGTGGGTTTGGGGATGCACAGAAAATACCCCCAGTGTCTCTTTAATCAGAAACTTCCCCGAGTGAGAAGAGAGCTTTCCGAATGACCCATAGAGCAGATCACCCCTTAGTATGACAGCAGACCTTTCCTGTACAATAAAAATATTTTGAACAGTCCCTTGACACATGTTATTAGGGGATCTGATCTGTACAAATGAAGCAGACGACAAAGGTAACAGGTTTATCTCTACAGTGTTGGGATGTAAGCTCCCCAGAGCTTCAGAGGATGGAGCCAGGCAGCTCCAGACTTGTCCACTGAGGCCTTTCCGTACCGTTTACTATTTTCCCCTCTTTCCAAAGCCTGCCTTCGTCCCTGAGAAAGGGAGCAAGTTTAGTCAATTTCCTTGCTGGTTAGAAGCTCCAGTAAAGGATTCGATGGGAGAGAAGATTAGAGACTGAATGAAGTTGTCGCGTTACCTGTGGATTTCACTGAACAGAAAAGTCACCATTTTCCAGGGATGATTCAGAGTTGCTAGCGAGTTCGTGCCTAGAGTTAGGACAGCTCTAGCTATCAGTTAGTATAATAAGTACCAAGGGATTGTCTGCAATTTTGTTATAAATTTCTTTTCCTCTCCATAGGTGGTGCTTGGCACTTTTCGTTTAATGTGAAATTTTACCCACCAGACCCTGCCCAGCTCTCTGAGGATATCACCAGGTATTTGAAAGTTGGCTGTGAAAAAGTCAGTCATGTTGGGGGCTGTGCTTCTCTTAAATTCCGGGGAAGGGAGCAGGCTTAAACCTGGTGAACCTCTTAGTCCTCAGCGCCCAAAGGGCAAACAGAAGACAGCTGAATGGGAGCAAACATCTGATAAGAAGATTTGCCCAATCATATCTGTTCACAGTTGAATCTTTGGTGTTAAGCTGATACTTCCCACTGCCTGACCCTGGTGGGGAAACACATGGAATTGAGATGCTGTCATCCTCCCACTTCAGTCAAATTGGATGGGATTCAGCCTGAAATAATATGGCAACTCCTGGTGCTCCTGCTTTAAAGCTTGGAAATGTGTCTTCAGATGCGTATGCCTTTGTATATAACCAGTCTGATATGTTGGTGTCTGTTTTGTGTGTTTGTGTATGTGTACACACAGGCTTGCACACACACCCAAATACACATAAACACATGCACATTTAAGAGTTTACCTTCCACGCCTTCGGGATATGAGGAAAGTGATTAATTTGTTTTGGGGAAAGAACGTTTAGAAAGGAATGTCGGCCTGGCCCAGTGGCTGAGCTTTGAGTGAAAGGAAGAATCTTTTTATGAAGTGACCCTGGGTTTGCTGCATGTCTTTTTGGGCCTCTTTGAGTGCTTTCTGCTTTGGAATCCCAGGTTTTCTCACTGTGTTTTGTAGTAAGTTTATAAGCAGTCAGAGTGATACTGCACAGTGTGGCTATGCATCCTTCTTGGGAAGCTTTTCAGGAGAGAGAAATTACTCAAAAAGTTTCAGTCACTTGCTATGATGAAAAATAATTCCAGTAGACATGTTGGAGAAGAGGAAAAACTAGTTCCAGAAGATTTCTTTTATATTTCCATTCAATCAAAGAACAATTTATAGTTTCTTATTTATATATACGTTCTAGTAATATTGAGGGACCATTTAATTGTGGCTAATTTGTGGTTAGACAGCCTGTATATACTTGGATACGGAATCTAGTGCATGATTCCTTTCTATTTACGTCATGTTTATTGTTGTTCAGTCGCTGAGTCCTGTTCAACTCTTTGTGACCCCACGGATGGCAGCACGCCAGGCTCCTCTGTCCTCTACTTTCTCCTGGAGTTTGCTTAAATTCATGTCCATTGAGTCGGTGCTGCTGTCTAACCGAATAGAACCTGTGAAATTTGTAGGAATTTTTGTATCTAGATTGCACAGCATTTATATCATCAGCTTTTAAAGCCATATTGAGAGGGGACCTTAAGACTTAATCATAGCCCTCAGCTTCAGCAGATTAACAGTTTGTTTCTTATGTGAAAAGTGCAAGGTATATTTTATTATTTATACTCATATGCTGGGCTGTGAAGAGTATCATTAAAATTCATCAATGTTCCCATTTACCGTGGAGTCTTCTGCAATTAGTATTATATCTGTAACTCTTAGAAGCAAACTAACAGAAGATAAAAGTCAACTATTAATGGAGATATTTAATATTGGCAAAATTATACCAAAGGTGTTCTGGATTCCACCCAGTTTAAAATTGTTTACTTTTAGTGATGAGATTTTAAGTACAAATTCTTCAAAGTTAGTCTTCATAACAGTTGAATAAGTTATCAACATTTTAAAAAGTGAGACTTTAACACAGGAGAAGGCATCCACTATAAAGAGACCCTCATTTCAGGATGCAGGAGGTGGCAAGCCGTGTTTGTGATGGCACAGCCACTGTTTATCTTGGTCCTATGGCAGGACCTTTCATCTAGATAGCAAAATGAGCCGTCCTTTAGGCATTGGGGCCTCATCATTGATATTCAAGAGCACTGTTTTAATATTAGAATTGCCTTCCCCCTTCCCAGAGAGCTTGACCTTCAACATCACCTTAGTGTTAGAGGAACAGTCCGTAGGTTTCCTTTACCTTGTGCATCATGAATGCATCTGTGTTTGATGACGAACATGGAGTTGCCGCTAGATGCCCTTAAATATTACATTCTGTGGCCAAGTGTATTTTCCTTTGGTATGGAGATCCAAGTAGAGATGCTGGACAGTGTATCCCAGCGGGTTGTTCTGCAGGGAGAGGTTGCTTGCTGCCCACTGGGGGCTGCGCGGGCCCCTTTCCAGGCTCCTAACTGACTCCGCCCGCCCTCTGGCCCCCGAAGGTACTACCTCTGCTTGCAGCTGCGCGACGACATCGTGTCCGGCAGGCTGCCCTGCTCCTTTGTCACGCTGGCCCTGCTGGGTTCCTACACCGTCCAGTCGGAACTGGGCGACTACGACCCGGACGAGTGTGGCAGCGACTACATCAGCGAGTTCCGCTTCGCCCCAAACCACACGAAAGAACTGGAAGACAAGGTCATCGAGCTGCACAAGAGCCACAGGTGAGCAGCAGGGGCCCCGAGAGCATCCTGTCTGAGCTGTGCTCAGTGGGTGGGCGTCCCCTGCACCGCCTGCTTCTCCTGGGACCTCCAGGTTAATGCCTTGAGGATGGGACACAGTGGAGTGAGGCTCTGGGTCTGATACATTCTGCGTAGTTGGAGGTTCCGCTCCCACTTAGGATGTCCTTGTGCTGTTTCAGCTAAAAGTCATTTTTCTGATATTCTCCCACGTACCCCACCTCCCTTAGAGCACAAATCAGTGTCTCTCTGGGAACTTGCACATAAGCTAAGTAGGAAATATTACAGCCCCACCAGGTTCAAAGTCTTCCCTGGTGGCTCTGGGAATAAAGAATCCGTCTGCAATGAGGGAGACCCAGGTTTGCTCTCTGGGTCAGGAAGATCCCCTGGAGAAGGAAATGGCAACCCACTCTAGTATTCTTGCCTAGAGAATTCCATGAACAGAGGAGCCTGGTGGGTTACAGTCCATGGGATCACAAAGAGTTGGACATGACTGAGCAACTAACACTTTCTTTCACCAGGTTTATAAAAAAAAAAAACACAGTGTTATAATTAATACTTCTCATTTCTTATCAGAGGAATGACGCCAGCAGAAGCAGAGATGCATTTTTTGGAAAACGCCAAAAAACTCTCCATGTATGGGGTCGATTTACACCATGCCAAGGTATACACTTTAACACTCCAGACTTTCTGATTTCATGGAAGTGTGTACAAGGCCCAGTTGTCACAAATGTTGTGTGCTAAGTTGCTATGTATACCCTTGTTCTGTACATCCACCAAGGCAGTCAGTAAATTCTTATTAAATTTTTAAAACTCTCTGTAAAGTTTGGGCTTCCCTGGTGGCTCAAATGGTAAAGAATCTGCCTGCAATGTTGGAGACCTGGGTTCGATCCCTGGATTGGGAAGATTCCCCTGGAGAAGGGAATGGCAACCCATTCCAGTATTCTTGCCTGGAGAATTTCATGGACAGAGGTTATAGTCTGTGGAATCACAGAGTCGGATACAACTGAGCTACTAACACTTTTATTTTCATAAGGTTTAGATGCTGTGACAAAGAATCAGTGCTTTGAAATAAGAGGATTATTTTGGAGTTCAAGTAAAGTTAGCCAGCCAGGCTAAGTCAATGGGGAGTTGTTGAGGCTGTATCTTGGTTCCAGGGTCTTGGGAAGAGAGAAGTTGGGGTTGGAAGATAGGCAGGTTAAGGTTGGGGAGAAAGTACTAGCTGCTTTTACTCCCTGTCACACTTTTCCTGGAATCGTTGTATTTTTCAACAGTGAGAGAGTGAGCATTGGAATGTTAGTCTGTTATCTAACAGCTATGAATAGAAGCTTTCCTGAAATCTTGTATCATCAAAGCACAGAAGATATGGTAGGCTCTTAGAGATGGATTCTGGTCCTTCAGCAGTGTTGAAGAGATCCACGCTTGAAATTGGGGGGCAGCTGCTTCTGACTTGGACGGATACAATGGCGTCCTCCTGGTAGGGACATGCCTTGACTTCCGGTGGACAGAGTGGTATTGTCTCACGGTCCAGACCACACAAGAACGTGCACGTAACAGGTTGCCAGGCGAGCGAGTGTCTTACACAGTCAAGTTTGGGGCCAATAAATGAGGAGGGTTTTGGCAGGCTCTGTTCAGGCAAACACCTCAACAACGCTGGGGACCCCTGGGAGGGAAATACATGATCTTTCTGTTGATGCTGCATTTGGGAAGCTGATGGGTTTAGAATGAGTTTGGACAAGATAATAATGAGGAGCAAATGAGCGCCATTCTGACTAGGTTTGTGGATCATTTGTACATCACTCAGGATGAGCAACTTCTGAGGCCCGAAAGCCCCAACACGAGCAGGATCTCTGAGACTCGGCTGGGGCTTCACAGGGGGACGCTGGTACAGCAGAGCCTAGAGCCCTGACATCTGTGTGTAACTACAGCAGCAGGAGTAGCTCTGTTTACTGGCCAGTTAATTATTACAGGTTTTCACGTACTTGGCCCTCAGATCACATAGCGTTTCATAGTTTTATGTCAGCTATAAGGTAGGGTAAGGAATTAGAAAACAAGGACATGCACTAAGATTGTTTTTCTCAGAGTTTTTCCCTGCATGGCCAAAAGATAAAGAAACAAGACAAAAATGAAGGTAGCTTAGAAACTGGAGTGAATCAAAAGCTATTTTTGATACATACGATGACTCACTCACTACCCAGGGAGAATACATAAATGAAAGGTGAGGGCCTCTGTTTAGGAGAAGGGCAGCTCAGGATGTGTCACTGTTCCTATCGGGAAAAATGAAGCCACTTAACATGGCTGTAATGACTAAATTAAAATAGATGGCTGGTTTTTCATTCGATAATGTGATTTGAAATTAGGCCAATTAAAAAAGAAAGAATTAAGGAAGTGCCAGTGCCGCCTGTGATAGGATTTCATCTGAATGCTAAGTATAACAAGCGATATGGTTATGGACTTCATTTTCTCCTGCAGCCGCCCTCCATCATTTCAAGGAGGAAATTTACCGAATTACATTAAAGCTAATTTCCGGTTATAAGTGAGATGCTTCTCTTCTGTGGATAGTATCGAAAGGCCCTGAGTTTTAGGACCTAGTTAGAAATTCTGAACTGCGATCTTGGACGCAACAGCTCTCAATGAAAAATAAATAACCTACATTTGGTGAAGGTGCCTTGTTTTGGAAAAACCTGTTTTTAATGCTTTGTTTTTTTCCTTAAGAAGACTGTCTCTGCTTGTTGGTCATTTAACATCACTCTGAATAGGCTCTGTCAGAGTCATTTATTTCATACAAGATTCAGAAATGTAGATATAAATCCATATTGGATATCCTGTGGACCAGGAGATAATAAAGGATGGGGTTGGAACAGTGCTTTTAGATTGAGGAATGGTAGATTTGTTTATTTTAAGTGGGACAGGCTGAGACTGTCCAGGTCTTTCATCAATGTTCCCTGCTAAACACACGTCCCCAAACACATGGTTATAGCTTTTGATACAGTTTGTTAAGTTACTGCCTCAATGCTATGGACTGCAGCAGAAACCTAGATACCAAAGTGAAAATCGCTCAGTTGTGTCTGGCTCTTTGTGACCCCATGGACTATACAGCCCATGGAATTCTCCAGGCCAGAATACTGGAGTGGATAGCCTTTCCCTTCTCCAGGGGATCTTCCCAACCCAGGGAGAACCCAGGTCTCCCACATTGCAGGCGGATTCTTTACCAACTGAACCATAAGGGAAGCCCCTAGATATCAAAAGTATCCTTTTTTTAATCAACAAGAACCTATTGGCTAGCACATGGAACTCTGCTCAATGTTATGTGGCAGCCTGGATTGGGGGTGGGGTTTGGGGGAGAATAGATACATGTGTATGTATGGCTGAGTCTCTTCACGCATCACCTGAAACTATCACAGCATTATTAATTGGCTATACCCCAAAACAAAATGTTCAAAAGAAAAAAAATAATAATCCATTTTTTGGTTGCTATGCCTTTAGTGAAATGGAAGCATTCATCCAATTTTAAGCCCTGCTTATTCCTGACATTTTCTTTCTTCGTTTGCTTTTTCTTCCAACCCATTCGTAGTAGTTTAACATGTACTAGGCAGGTGCCGTGCTGAGCGCATAGGTCACTGAGATAAACAGCAGGTTCTCCACCAGCCTGGGTCGGGAGCAGGAGGAAGGGGAGTTTGGGGCAGCACACTTGCCCGCGGTGTGCTGGCCCCAGTGATGATATGGGGCCACCGGAGAAGTGAGTGTGTGTTGGAGGCCCTACGATTAGTTTCCCATCTTCTCATGGTTCAAAGACACTCATGAGTGATGTATAACCGATAATACTGGAAGAGGTTGTAAATGTCCAAAGGCATGTTTCCTACACTAGTTCTTCATCACAAAGACCGTGACTCAGGAGCACTTATTCCAGCAGCCCTGCTCATGCACACATGTCTGCTTGAGGCCTGAGGGGTCACCTGGGTGGTCCTGAGAGCAGATCATCTGGATCTAAGCATCCACCATGCCCGCTATGTCCAGTGTCAGGTGAGAGCTCTGTAAACTGCTCTTATAGTTACAGCCCTTGATAAATGGTGGGTGGTCTCTCTGGTCTCTGAATTCCCCTGAAATCTGATTACGTTGTCATATCCTGCCATCAATTCCTTCTGCCCCTCTAGAGTGAGGTCGTGTCTAATGGAGCGGTACATTTCCAAGGAGAAATGTTTCATTTTAAGTCAATTAGATTGTATGTGTAACCTCACCATGCCCAGAGAGGGACCAGAATACTTATTTTGACTCTGGAAATGTTCCTTCTGTGTTTTGTACTGGCAGGACTTAGGATGTCAGTCCACCCACCCCCATACGGATGAGTCAGAAGCCCCTGTCTGGATTCTTTTGCGTGTCTCTCCCCACTTTGCTGGGGCTGCAGTGACTCAGTGAGACAGCCCTGACAATGACGTGTCCCCAGACCTCAGCTTTGCCTCTCCGTGACCCTGTTTTCCAACAGCCAGTGAGAAACAAGTGGGGGGCCCTGCCTCACACACAGCCCCGCCTTCTGCACTTTGTCCTTAGCCCACGTAGGACACCACTGATACTCACTTCACCCTGATCTCACCTGAACACAAAACTGGGGGGACACAGACGGGTCGTGGGGTGTCTCCTGAGCTTCACATAACGTCTCTGATGACCCCCGGGACTCCTCATCACACCTCCCTGGGAAATGACTAAAGATGTAGTATGCAGGTAGCTAAAGCAAGTGCAAATACAGCACGATCCCCCTTTTGTTTTTGTTTTTTTTTTTTTTAAAAAAAAAGAGGCCTGGGACTTCCCTGGTGGTCCAATGGTTAAGACTTCACCTTCCAATGCAGGGGATGTAGGTTCAATTCCTGCTTGGGGAGCTAAGATCCCCACATGCCTTGCAGAGAAAAGCAATAATGTAACAAATTCAATAAAAGACTTAAAAAAAAATCTGCATCAAAAAAAATCTATTAAGAACAAACCTATACATATATATTAAGTGTATCTGTATTTTTTGTACGTGAACCAAGTGATTAAGTGAGCACCAGTGGGTGGTGAGTGTATGTTGGGAGCCTGTTGGGGAGGAGGTACAGACTTTAAAAAACTATTTTATACTCAAATTTTATAATGGTATATTAAAAAAATCAAGGCTCTTTTTAAAACAACAGACCCCAAAACACTCATAGTAAAGGATGAGGCCTGTCTGCTAGTGTCCATATTAGTTAAGTACTGCCCCTGGAAACAGGCTGCTCATATTCAGCTGGGATGGAAATCTAACCTTTCTGTGCCTTGGTCTTCTTGCCTATAAAGTAGGAATAATAAGAGCAACCAGCTCAGAACAATGCTAGTGAAGATTAGTAATGTATGCGGTCCAGCCAGGCCTGGCACCCAGTGACGAGAACCCAGGCTCCGAACACCACTGTGATTAACACACCTTCACCTGGGTGATGTTCTCTATGTGCAATGTGGACATCGCAAGTCCAAGATACCTGGGTGAACAGAGTTTCTGCTAACAGATCTCCATAGCAATGAATATCTTCATCAGAAGGCTATTATTTAGTGATAATGTGTTTTAAATGGCTGCAATATTTTTCATACTTAAATCTGAGCTACAGGCAAGCCTTTTATAGGTTCCAACCTGGAGGCTTAAATAGTGTACCCAGCCATAAATGGAAATAGATGAGTTGCTCATCCTTCTTTTTTTTTTTTTTTTAATCTTGTCTTTTGTACTGGGGTACAGCCGATTAACAATGTTGGTAGTTTCAGCTGAACAGCCAAATGAAAGCGAAAGTAGCTCAGTCGTGTCTGACTCTTGTGATCCCATGAACTATGCAGTCCGTGGAATTCTCCAGGCCAGAATACTGGAATGAGTCGCCTTTCCCTTCTCCAGGGGATCTTCCCAACCCAGGGATCAAGCCCACGTCTCCTGCATTGCAGGTGGATTCTTTACCAGCTGAGCCACCAGCCCAAACAGCCAAGGGATTCAGCAATACATAGACACGTATTACGTTTTAACTGTCTTTCTAGATGACCATTTTTGTAGATGCATTATTTTTCTCTATGGCTTTGATACTCTAACTTTGTCTTCTAAAAGATAGCATGTAGTTGAATCCAATTTAGGCCTCTGTTATCATTCATTGATCTCTTTATTCTTGTGCCATGTATCACATGATGCAATTGCATTTCATTTAAAATATACTTTGATACCTGATAAGCCTAGGACTCCTTCATTACCATTCCTTGTTTCTCGCTGCTGTTTTTCAGGATTCTGAAGGAGTCGACATCATGTTAGGAGTGTGTGCAAGTGGTTTGTTGATATATCGTGACCGACTTCGCATCAACAGATTTGCCTGGCCAAAGGTTCTAAAAATTTCATACAAACGGAACAACTTTTACATTAAGATCCGGCCAGGAGAGGTAAGTAGACCCCAATTTGCATGTACGTTGGGAAGAAAGTTACCAAAGAACCAAAAGAAAATTTTTCTAAATTTTTTTTAGTGGAAATTTACCTGGCCAGCAGCTTTATTAGGATAACTTTGTGACAGTAGATAGTCAATAAAAGTATTTGATATAAATGTTTAAGAAGAGCTCAAAAATGAAAATTCAAAATTACATTGTTATTTGCACCCATGGACTTTATTTGTGGGTTACCCTAGTGTAGTGGATCAGTGGTAAAGAAGCCGCCTGTCAATGCAGAAGTGGGTTCTATCCTGGGTCAGGAAGATCCCCTGGAGAAAGAAATGGCAATCTACTCCAGTATTCTTACCTAGGAAACCCCATGTACAGAGGAGCCTGGCGGGCTTCAGTCCATGGGGTCTCAAAGAGTCAGACATGACTTAATGACTGAACAACAGCAACTCTTATTTGTAAAATATTTAATAATAAAATAAAAAATAAAAGTTGTCTATTTAATCCTAAACCAAGAGGTTTCAAGACTTTTCTGATAAGATTAATGAATGTGAAAGACAAAAGAATGATCAAACAGAAGTTTAAATCCCCTGCTCACGTGTTTGGAACATGGCAGGACATAGTGAGTTATAGCTAACTGCCTAAGAGAATTTACTGTAGGTTTGTCCAAAAAACAGTAATGCATAAAATCTTGTCTTCCCTTTTTATTGTTTTGTTCTAATTTTTCCCCACTGCATACATTAATTGGATGATTTTTTTCCTTTTGCATATTTTAGTGTAAAAGCAGGATTCATGAATAATGCTTTGTATTTTTTTGTGCTGTGGTAGAAAAGACACTTAGTTGCTAAACCTCTTTGTGAATTAAGAATAGATTTCTTCCCCATCTGTCCTGTTGTGCTGTCTCTGCATCCTCTGTCTTTGTCCTCCAAATCTGATAGCATCCTAAAGGGAATAACATAGAGATAGTGTGCTTCAAAGTGTAAGAAAGATTAGAGAAAGCAAAACTGGGTGTAAATTATGCAAGTTCAGTAGCCTGATACATTTCTCCTCTTTCATTTTTCAATCAGAGAGACTAATGAAAGAATCAGAATTGTTAACTAATCTTTGCTCCTTAGGCAGAAACATCCGTGATTAACTTACAGCCTCCTAGTGGTTCCATATCTGTTTCTTGTCAACATTGTACTTGTTCAGTCACTAAGTCATGTCTGACTCTTTGTGATCCCATGGACTGCAGCATACAAGCTCCTCTGTCCTCCACTATCTCTTGGAGTTTGCTCAAATTCATGTCCATTGATGCCATCATGTCTGGTGATGCCATCTAACCATCTTATCTTCTGCCACACCCTTTTGCCTTCAGTCTTTCCCAGCATCAGCGTCTTTTCCACATAATATATAGTAAAAATCTGCTGTTATCTCATAACAGATATTATATATGTCCAGTTTCTAATTAAAGTAGTTAATATAATGGAAGTAGCCCTGATTTCAGCTAATCTAGTCTCTACATTTTCTGATAGAGTATAAAATTACCTCCTGTCTTCGAAATCAACTTCTCCACGGGTGGAAAATGCAATTTCAAGCATCACTATATGGAGTATAATGGTTACAGTAGTTCATAATACTATACTGTATATTTGAAATTGCTGGTAGAATAGATCTTAGAAGTTCTTATCATAAGAAAACAAGATTGTAACTCTCTGCGGTGATGGATAATTAATTTGCCTCATATGGTAGTCATTTCACAAAATGTACAAACATCAAAACATTATGTTGTACATCCAAAGCTAATATAATGTTATATATCAGTTTTGTTCTCAAAAGTTTAAAGAATCAGACTATAAAGCAGGCAACTGTGTTTCATGTAAATATAGAGTCAAACTTGTATTTGAAGACTGAAATAATCTACAAGCTTTTCATATTAAATCATGAAATTAAAGTCATTTTTTATATTTCCTTAAGACTGCATGTTATGACCAAGATATATTTGATTTATGAAGCATTTATTAAGTGAGCATCTATCTATTGCCAAGAACTGTGTTGGGCCAGCTTCCCAGGTGATGCTAGTGGCAAAGAACACACCTGCCAATGCAGGAGACATAAGAGACTCGGGTTTGATCCCTGGGTCAGGAAGATCCCCTGGAAGAGAGCATGGCAACCCACTCTAGTATTTTTGCCTGGAGCATCCCTTGGACAGAGGAGCCTGGTGGGCTACATTCCAAAGGATTGCAAAGAGTCGGACACAACTAAAGTGTGAATTTTCACAACCCTGAATATTCATTGGAAAGACTGATGCTGAAGCTGAAGCTCCAATACTTTGACCACCTGATGCAAAGAGCTGACTCGTGGGAAAAGACCCTGATGCTGGGAAAGATTGAGGGCAGGAGGAGAAGGGGATGACAGAGATGATTGAATGGCATCAGTGGACTCGAGACTGAGCAAACTCTGGGAGATGGTGGAGGACAGGGAAGCCTGGTGTGCTGCAGTCCACGGGGTCGCAAAGAGTGGGACACAACTGAGTGACTGAACAACAACTGTGTTGGGCATTGAGGATAGAAAGATAAATGTGACCTTGTTCCTGTCCTGGAGGGAGTTTCTGTTTTGCAGAGAAATAGGCTGAGACAGTTGGAATCACAGTCATGATCCAAGTGTGATAATATTCCTTAGATGAGGAGTTAACGTAGTGTTGTGAGGGGCCAGAAGGGGAAGCCGGAGCAATGCATCAGGAGACCACCATAAGCCTTGGGAGCTTTAAACTGGGATGTGACATACTCAGTGGATATTTTGGGATAAGATTCAGTGACTTAGTAATGTGATGTGATGGGACCTAAAGTAGGGCAGAGGCTGTGGGAATAGACTGGAAGGGAGCACATTTGAGAGAGAGAGGTGTCAGAGGCAGAGCCCGTGGGTCCTGCAGACAGGATGTAGGAAGGATCAAAGGAAGAAAGAAGAGAGTCCAGTAAAATCAGAGGGCTTTGGGTTTGCATGAGCGAGGTTGATGGCGATGATATTAGATAAGAAAGAAAAGTGGGGAGAGTTTCAGAAAAAAAAAAAGATTGACATTTCTTGGCAACAGAGTGTTGGGTGATGGTGATCCTTGCATAATAAGAAATAAAAGATTTGAAGAGTGTCTTCAACTGTATAATACATTTTATTCAAGACCTTAGGCCTGGAAGAAATTACCGAAAAACAAGTAATTCTTGTTCAACGAGGAACAAGCTGGTGAAAGCCCCTAAGACAAAAATTATGGGTAACGCCACTTTTTCTTTGGCCTTTTTGGCTAAGAGCAAGTGTAGTATAGGGCTTCCTTGGAGGCTCAGTGGTAAAGAATCTGCCTGCTAATGCAGGAGCTTCAAGAGACACAGGTTCAATCCCTGGGTGAAGAGGGCATGGCAACCCACTCCAGTATTCTTGCCTGGAGAATCCCATGGACAGAGGAGCCTGGCTGGCTACAGTCCATGGGATTACAAAGAATCAGAAATTGAGCGTGCACACGGACATGTGCACACACGTGCACAGACACAAACCACTTTTAAGGGAGGGGTTGGCAGAAGAGGGTCAGACGCAGATGAAGAAAAGCATCCAGAGAAGAAAAGAATGGCCAGAAACAGTCATGGCTAATAAATAAGGGAGATGAGATGCAGTGGATGTGGTTCACCAGCAGAACCAAATGGGGCAGAGGAGCCTCTCGGATGAGAACAGAGAAAAGTGGGTTGAACTTGACAGTCAGCTCCCGTTGAGACAGTAAGAGCTAAGAAAGGAGTGAGGAACTGGCAGGTGGCACCCAGCTGAGGAGTGGACGAGAGAGGCTTCTCCTCCTGCCCCTCAGCCCTGATCCTGCTTCTGCAGAAACAAGCTCAGAGAACGTCCTCCCCGGCCTCACTTCTTACAACCATATTTATAGGCTGAGAAGAAAGAATGAGAAGGAATTACTGGTGGCACAAAGGCTCCGAAGAAGTTGAAAGAAGTGAATCCAAAGCACAGAGAAAGATAAATATTCAGAAAGTGCTGGGCCCTTTCTCATCCTTGTGCTGAGGAGACTCTTCTGAAAACCCCGCCCTCAGCATCAGAGTGTGCGGTCCTTCAGCATAGCGTGTGGTCCATGTGAGATGCAGGATGAACACATGGAAGATGGTTTACTTGAGGTCCCTGGTCCTCGGCCTGTCAGTTGACTGGGTCCACTGGATGGGGTGAGTTCCATGACCACCCCATGAGCATCAGAGAGAGGGAGAATTTGGGGAAAGCAACTGCATTTACAGTCACCCTTGATGTTCCTCCCCATCTCCCCTGCCCAGTCCCACTCAATGAACAAGGAAGAGAGGGGTCCAGCATCATGAAAGCTCACATGCCTTGCCCAGGACCCCTCCCTTGGTTCTTTGCCATGGAATTTCCTTTTGCTGTTAATTATACCAGTAGTCTGGTGGGTTTGAGCTCTTTGGGGAAGGCTTTACTGTTTAAGATGATTGCCCTCTGGTGGCCTGATGGATCCTGTCTTCAGAAAAATTTTTTTTAATTATTGAGTATTTGCCATAATAATATTAAAATCTGTTACTCAGGAAATTAGCTATTTCACTTTGGAGTGAATGTCATCTCAAGTCTACATACTGACAAATATGAAAATGCCTTCTCCCAATCTTTGATCTTATGCAGTCGGGCCTTCTCATCCCAAGATTCTGCGTCTGTGGATGCAACCAATCGTGGATCAGAAATATTCAGGGGGAAAAAATATTCCAGAAAATTCTGAAAAGCTAAAAACTTGAATTTGTTGCAACTATTTCCATAGCATTTTACATTGTATTTCAACTCTTCCCCTAGATTTACATTGTGTTAGGTTTTATAAGTAATCTAGAGATGATTCAAAGTCTGTGGGAGGGTTGCGTATGTTATATGCATATACTAGGCTATGCTATGTAAGAGACTTGAGCGTCGATGGGTTTTGTTATCCAGGGAGGGCCTGGAACCTGTCCCCTTGGATCTTGAAGGACAACTGTGTATAGTGTTGGGAGATGTTAGCATCTAACATGATAGTCCATGTTGTTGTTCTTGTTCAGTCGCTCAGTCGAGTCTGACTCTTTGAGACCCCATGGGCTGCAGCACGCCAGGCTTCCCTGCCCTTCACTATCTCTCAGAGCTTGCTCAAACTCACGTCCACTGAGTCAGTGATGCCATCCAACCATCTCATCCTCTGTCACCCCCTTCTCCTCCTGCCCTCATTCTTTCCCAGCATCAGGATCCTTTCCAATGAGTCATCTCCTCACATGGGGTGGCCAGAGTATTGGAGCTTCAGCTTCAGCGTCAGTCCTTCCAATGAACAAATAAAATCGGCGATGTCTGATACCAAGTCATCAGATACATAGAATATATGCATATTTCTAGACCAGATAGATACAAGGAGAGTCTGTCATCCTGAGGCTGCTGTAGACTCGAAATGTTTTATTCATTTCTGTGTGTTCCAGCTGAGGTCATGATGTCAGAGAGAAGCCATGAAAATTAGGCTTAAACGATCAGGACAAATTGGTCTCTGGAAGGAATACAAATTCTCTCCTTTTCTGCATTTAGTTTTCATAAGATTAATCCTTGTACATGAAACATTTACTACATGCATAATGTGGTTGTCTGTACCTGCAATGTTTTGAGATTGATATAAGATTTTTTTTTTAAATGAACGAATGTATAGAGCATGAAATCTGTATATAGCAATTTAGGGAGTAGAGAAAAATTTATGGGTAGTATTTTTATTTTGTATGTTATTTGCTTTCATGTTATTTATAACTCCAAACTTCACTATGCTCTCCAACATTTTTTTTTTAATTTAGTTTGAACAATTTGAAAGCACCATCGGGTTTAAGCTGCCAAACCACCGAGCTGCCAAGCGTTTATGGAAAGTGTGTGTAGAACACCATACATTTTTCAGGTGGGTTTTTTCCTAAGGAAGTAGAGTGATTGGAATCACCTTACTGAAAAAGGTGGTTAGAAAGAATACGGCAGCAAAATTCTGTCCTTCAAGTTTGTTGCCATCAGATTCCTTGATAAATCCTAAAGACCTTCTGACTAAATTTGAAGGGTTTTTCTTTAGCTGTCTGATAGTTACCTGTCTTATCACCCCCTTTATTATCTTTAGTGGCTTTCCCTGTTTTTAATAAGATGTCCATTTCAGATGACCAGTCCATTCCTTGCTATTTCAATAACTTTTCAATAACCTCAACTCCTCTGCTCACACACAGTAAAGCTGTCAGAGTTACATCTACAAAATAACAAATTATCACCATTCACCAGTATCACCTATTTAATTGCTCGTTGGGTTGTAGAACCACAGACCCTCCAGTTCCATGGGATGGTCAAGTTCACCTAGTCCCAGCTCCACCCCCCATTGCGTGTCTACAGCATCCCTAGTTGATACTCACTGTGTGAATTGACTTTTTTTTCTTACAAAATCAGATTCATTGAATTGCAGGTTGGCTCTTAAACCTGTGGTGCACAGAGCCCTTTACCTTTCAGAACAGAGTAAGTAATGAGCATTCTTGGGGCTTTCCTGGTGACCCAGTGTTAAAGAATCCTCCTGCCAATGCAGGAGAGACAATTTTGATCCCTGGTCCAGGAAGATCCCACATACCACAGAGCAAATGCACCAAGCCCATGCAGCACAACTATTGAACCCGTGCTCCAGAAGCTGGTAACTGCAACTACTGAAGCCCGGGTGTCCTAGAGCCCATAGCCCCCGCTCCCCACACCTAGAGAAAAGCCCACACAGCAAGGATAACCCAGCACAGCCAAAATAAGTAAAAAGAAGTTAGCATTCCTGATGTATAGCTTAATCATCTTTCCGATGTTTTTCCTTTAATCTCTGTAGACTGTTGTTACCAGAAGCGCCTCCAAAGAAGTTCCTCACCTTGGGTTCCAAGTTCCGTTACAGTGGCAGGACACAGGCCCAGACCAGAAGAGCCAGCGCGCTGATAGATCGTCCAGCCCCGTACTTCGAACGCTCGTCCAGCAAACGTTATACTATGTCTCGCAGCTTGGATGGAGGTAGGCACCGCTCGTAAGGATCGCTAGCGGCCACCAAATAGTGTGAGACCATCATGAGCCTTTGATGGGACATCGTTGCTCTAGGATAGTGTGGAATGAAAAGCACTTGTTGGTCTTTGACCAAATGGAAAATTTTAACTAACCCCTAACCTCAAAAAAACTTTAGTGACTTCTGCTGGCTATCCAGTGGTTAAGACTTCATGCTTCTACACAGCAGGCACAGATTCGATCCCTAGTCAGGGAACTGAGTTCCCACATGCCTCATGGCATGGGTAAAAAAAAGGGTGCCTCTGTGAGTCCGATGTCTGCTGTTCTATGCTTAGCTGCTCAGTTGTGTCTGACTCTTTGCGACCCCATGGACTGTAGTCCACCAGACTCTGCTGTCCATGGGGATTCTTCAGGCAGGAATACTGGAGTGGGTTGCCATGCCCTCCTCCTGGGGATCTTCCCAACCCAGGGATCAAACCCAGATCTCCTGCATTGTGGGCGGATTCTTTACTGTCTGAGCCACCAGGGAAGCCATGGTAGATTTATGTAAAATCACACAAAAAATGGTATTTGGAGAATGAGGCAGCTTTCATAAGTTGGCACCCTGAATTTGCAGAAGGATGCTCTTATTCTTCAATATAGGAATCACATACTTATATATAATTTGCTTCTCTCACCAGCAGATCTTAAATGATTATCAGGTTTATTTTAGATCATTTGGTTCAGAAAGAAAACTGCATTAAATGTATCTCTTGTTCCTTTAGAAATGTCAGCAGTGAAATGTGACTTTTATCTGTCAGTGGATAATAGCTTATAGGAAGGATGACATTCAAATAACAGTGAAGGGCTCCAAGTGACCTCCTCTTGGTTTATATTAATCATTCCAGCAGATGGGCTGGGAGGGTGGCTGTAAAGATCCTCCAGCTTTAAGTCAGGTGTTTGGGTATGATGGGGAAAGAATCACTCCATCACTTAAGTAACATTTTTAAGGCATAAAAGGGAGTCTTTAGCAAGTTCCTGCCTCATGGGGCAGTTTTCTGTGGTACCATGTAGAGTTACACACAGGTGTGCTTTTCTGCTCTAAGACATGCCAGCTAAAGTCAGAACATCTGTATCCTCAGAAGTGAGATCCACAGGGCATAAGCCGAATGTGATCGCCGTGCCAGGTACAGCGCTTTGTGCCAGGGACTTGAGTATCCACAGCTTTTGGTTGTCCTAGGAGGTCCTGGAACCATCCCCTCCAGACTCCAGGGGATGACTGTGAGTCTTGACTTAGGCCCCAGGCCTCTGTCTCCTAACCCAGAGCTCCTGGACGTGAGATGTGTTATAGGGACTTTGTCCTGGGCACATACAAAGTGATGTTTCTAGCATGAGTATATGATTTTAATAATAAACAAAAGCATAAATAGAATCAAAAGTTACTATTACTGATGCCTGGGATCACCTCCCCCTTGACCTTCTCTGCTTTCAACACACCATAGAGTCTCAGTCCTTCCTTCCCTTTTGCCAAGCCCTGACATGGCTGTTGGGGTGACATACTCCCCAAATTCCTTGACTTAAAAGACTATATTCCATTGATGTTGTTAGAAATTCTGATTCTGACTGCAGAAGGAGATACAAATGTGAATGAGGTGAGATAAAGAATCCTATAATGCTTCATATGAATATATCTGTCCATGGAATTCTCCAGGCCAGAATACTAGAGTGGGTAGCCTTTCCCTTCTCCAGGGGATCATCCCAACCCAGGGATTGAACCCAAGTCTCCCACATTGCAGGTGGATTCTTTACCAGCTAAGCCACAAGGGAAGCCCAAGAATACTGGAGTGGGTAGCCTATCCCTTCTCCAGCAGATCTTCCCAATGCAGGAATCAAACCGGGGTCTCCTGCATTGCAGGTGGATTCTTTACCAACTGAGTTTTCAGGAAGCCCAACAACATGAAGTCATAATTTGTAGCTCTTAATTCTTGGCTCCGTCCGCTGAAGGGGCTAAGAAGCCGTGATATCCAACAGCTGAGCACACTGAATGCCTACATCTTACTTCCCCAGCGTCTCCCCTGCCCCTGCGTTCTGTGCTTAGCCTGTGTGGGGATAGAGACAGTTAGAAAAATATATTACCAAAGAGTTTGCAGTGACAGTGGAATAAGGAGGGTGGGCAGTGAGCAGACTGAAGAAAAGAAGAGAAAGTCTGTGTAAATTGACTTGCTGCCATGACCAAGAACTCCTTTTGCAGTTTGCAGATTCTGACGACGTGAATAAAAGCAATACACATAAAATGAAAAAAGACTATACTGTCCCAATGGAGTACTGTATAAGAAGTTCATAGAAATTTTTAAAACGTTTATAGAGGGAGTCAAACTTACGTTATTAGTGCTCTGTTCCTCGTATAAGTTCCGTAGTGAAGTGGGAAGAACGCTCACCTGGTATGGATAAATCCAGGCCCGCGTCCAGACCCTTTCCTTGGACAGCAGTGGGTGAGTGGCTGACCGTCTGCAGGTCCCAGCTTTAGGCGCCGTCTGTGAGATGGCATCATGGCCGCCTCCGGCAGAGTCGTCTCAAAGAGTGAATAAGACGCTGGTGAAAGCGGTCTTTTTCCAGATGTGCTCCTGATACCTCAGCAGGTATATTGAGAGTCATTCTTTAGGCTCTTGTGAGCTGGCCTAGGAAGAAGGTCAGTTACCTTTCCCTACCTTCTAGAAGAGTGTTGCATTTTTAGAATCTCTGAGAACCAAACTTTCGGGAAACACTGTTTACTAGGACGTTCGAAGTTGAATTCTGAAAGTTCACATTCGCAGTGGCACCTTCTCCCTGTATCGTCTCATCTGCTCTTTAAAGCATCTGTGTAAACGGTGTGTGTTCTTCAAGTCAGTGTTGGGGGAACTCGTGTAGAATCACGGCTTTTTCCCCTGAATGCCCTTCACGTGGTTCTGTGATGTGAACCCAAGGGGACGCATTTGCTGTGAATGCCGTTTTCCTTGTGACCCTCTGTGTGATGGTGATTGCTGAGAAGACAGAAGCCAATTGTGAAACCAGTGTACTAATTCCGTGCTGTGTCTCTCTCTCTCCCCCTGCCCAAAAGTGACGCTAGTATGTGTTGTCTCTCATTCTCTGGGGTCCTGCCAGTTCTCGTATGTTTTCTGTGCTGCTGCGTGGGGGACCATGGCTGCATGTTGGAATAGCTACTGCTTTTTGCAAGGTTGCATCTTCTATGAGAAAAGCCTAACAAGCTTTTTTAGGAAACTGTGTCTCATACAAGCTTTTTCGTCAGTAGATGGAGATGTAAAATATCTTAGTGAAGGTATTTTAGTGAAATGGTTTACTGTTCAAAGGATTTCAGAGTTTTTTTCTTACATTTATGTTTTTAACTCCCAAAAAAAGGAAAGCAGATTAAATTTTGCCTGAGATTTGAAAAGCTACCTTTCTAAATTTTATTAAACTTTATAGTACCTAAAACCTAAAAGAATGAGGAACAAATTTCAAAAATATAACTAAATCAGGTATCTCTTTCACTAAGACATTTTAGCTGGGAGGAAAGGCTGGGTCTCGCATCTCTTCCGTTTGCATGCTTAGCAGTTGCATGAATTTCATTAGCAATGTTTGTCTTCCTTTCCCCAAATAGCAGAGTTGAATGAATGTATGCACATCGTGGCAGTTTTTTTTTAATGCAGTAAAAATTAAAACATTTCTGCACTTGAGTTGAGCAGAGTTGCCATCCGCATTGCATCATCTCTGCTGAGATGGCTGCTTTTCAGTATCACTTAGGTAGCTTTTATATTGTAGGAGAGAAAGACTTTTCAACCACTAATAACTATAGTAGTAGTAGCAATAGTAATAATAATTAAAAAAAAAAATTCAGTGCTCCTCAATGACTGGCACTTCCAAAGATGTGTTCAGAGTTAAGTGTACTAGGGCCGTTGTCTGTCTCCTGTTAGTTGTGGAACTTGCCTTGAGTGCCGCTGCCCAGCCGGTTTACTCTGTGGGAAAGAGGCCCAGCAGTCGCTCAGTAGCCCCCTCTTTCCACTCACATCCACCCTCACACACACGCTTGCCAGAGAGCCTGCGAATGGATGAACACTGCTGGTGACTTCAAGAGATGAGCATTGAAATCACGCTTAGACGCAGTCACGGGTGACAGAAATATGAAACTTCAGTGTTGCTTAGATGAGAATACCTGCAACGCTGATGTGTCTTTTGAAGAGAAACCTGGTGCTTTATTGGGGGAGGGGGGTTGTTTGTTTTTTCCTGTAATAGGACAGTGGGTGGCGTCCATCCTTCTTCTGACTTAACTATCTCGGACTTTATTTCTCCGATTGTATCTGCTTTTAGCATCAGTGAATGAAAACCATGAAATATACATGAAGGATTCTGTGTCCGCTGCAGAGGTTGGTACTGGCCAGTACATCACCACAAAGGGCATGTCTCAGACCAACTTGATCACCACTGTGACTCCAGAGAAAAAGGCCGAAGAGGAGCGGGACGAGGAGGAGGACAGACGGAAAAAAGCAGAGGAAGCCACGCCGGTCGCTGCCATCCGGCACGAGGGAAAGGTACATCTCCCCTCTGCCTCCCAGGGCTCCTGCAGATTCCAAAGAACTCCTGAATGGTGCTGAGAATGTGAAGCAGGAATGTGTGCATAAGACTTAGGCTGACTCATAGCTCAGCGTTAGTCACATTCATACTACCAGTCTTTATTATTCCTTCTGTCCACAGTTTTCCTCTGAAAGATCCCTTTTTAACTTTTTGAAACTTCTTATTGAACAACTTAGGTGCTATGTAAGACTTTCAACAGCTGTCCTGTCTGTAGATCTTAAAAATACATTTGGTGGCATATTAACACATTTATTAATGTTTGGGCTTACAATTCAGAACTGCCACTAAAGCTGTTTTCTTTGTTTCTGGCCCCATTCTCCTACCCAAGGGCTGTGTATTTATCTAGATGTACAGTATTGATTTTGCCATACTCTTGGCTGCAAGTAACTAAGTGACCACAACCTGCATTTTCATACACTGTTTACTCTCTTATTAGTCTTTTGATTTTAACCTCATCATCAAAGTAGCCAGTGGATATATTTTGGAAAAGGGTTAAGGCAGAAGGTCTCAGGGGAGATGGAGGGTAAACTTGCCAGTCATTTCTCCAGGGTGCTTGATTCGCTGAATTCGGTCACTTCATTTCATCTGAAATTCAATTTATTTTAAAAAAATAAACATTATGATTATTTCTGGAGCTCCAACACTACAAAGCAACTTTTTGAGAAAATGAATGTCAAAAAACATGTAGATAGCATCTGTCTGGTTTCAGGTTATGTATCTCACAGAGCAGCTCCCATAAAAGTCAAAAAACACAGTAGGAGGTTTATATGTATTAATCATGGAAATCCAGGAATGTACAGGGGGAAAGGAAACTGCAGAATAAAAATGCTGCGTAACTTAGAGGTGATGCTAAAATTGGGGTAAATTTGATTCAAAAGTGCTCTTTTGCAGGTGGGCTCTTCAGATATAGAGGCTGGGGTGGGAAACTCCCCTGGGGCTCTGTAGAAAATACTCCTTTTGGTAAGAACTCAACAGTGACTTCTGAACGGGCAGACTGGCAAACATATCATCATTCTGTTTATAATAGAACATCCCAGTGACCCAGTGTACAGCCCTTTTCTTAGGGTAAGATTAACTTATTTGCCAAACTCAAAGACAGGACATAACAACAAGGATATCTGGCTACTTAAGCTACGAAAATGTGCATTGTTCTGAATTTCGTTTTCACACACCTCCTCCTTTTCAGTTAAGGTGGGTTTTAACTAGGTCTTGATCAGAAGATGATAATATACTTGAAAACCAGTGCGTCCCATGATTTCTGGAAGTCGCCCAGGCTAACACTCCACTTTCAGGGATGTGTAAATAAGATGAAAATGAAAGTGTTAGTCGCAGTTGTGTCTGACTCTTTGTGACTCCGTGGACTGTAGCCCACCAGGTTCCTCTGTCCATGGGATTCTCGAAGCAAGAATACTGGAGTGGGTTGCCATGCCCTCCTCCAGGGGATCTTCCTGACCCAGGGATCGAACCCAGGTCCCCTGCATTAGCAGGCAAATTCTTTATCTTCTGAGCCACCAGGGAAGCCAAATAAGATGAAGTACCCTATGAAAGTAAATGACTTGTCCTTTGCTTCCAAAATGATCCACTCCTACTTTATTGATTTTAAAAGATCAGGGATTTGTTTACATGAGATGGAGCCCTAAGCCAGTGTCACTTGGTGCCGTTTATGCCACCAGAGAATAGAAAGACAAAGGAGACTGCGGCTGTCAGTCAGAGCACCGTGACCCAGACGCCTTCTGAGAGGATGGGGCCCGAAGCTCCTGCTGCAGTAACTGCATGCTGTCTCCACCCCACCCCCCACCCCCCACCCCCTGCCACCGCAAAGCTGTTTTTAAAAACCACTCTTTTAAAAAAAAATTAAAAAGAAAACTAAAAAAATAAAAATTTTTAAAAAATTAAAAAGCAGACTCTAATCAGCAATGTAAAAGATTAAGCTGTAATTTCATTTTTCTCCATCTTCAGAAAGGAGCACAACATGTTTTATTTTTTTAACCAAAATGAAGGTGTGTTACTGAAAACAGTACTTAAACGACTGGTCCCTGATTCCTTTGAGAGCGTGTTTCCCCACTGATGATCACCACAGGTGATAGGACAGCCTTCTGAGGGTGGATGGCGGTTCTTAACTTTCGCACTATCCTCACTTCAATGAGATTTGTTCAGGGTCTTGTGTAAGACACAATGTTTAACGTCAAATGTGAGTATTAGGAAAAGACATACTTGTCTGATAACAAAACAGAGGCACTTCTGCATTGTAGTAGATCCATGCTATCATTTTATTTATGCATTTTCTTACCCTCTGCCTCTGTATTTACCAAGTCGGAGTTGGATAACCGCCACAAAGCAAGCCGGGTAATGTCCATGCTATCAGGACACTAGGCAAAAACACACATGTGCGTACACACCTGCACACACACACACACACACACACACAGTGGAAGTGTGGTCATCTTCAGGCTCCAGGTGACCTTGTCTTGTAACTCCTTGGTGGCGGCAGCCTCTATACTAGGCCCAGGTCCTGTTTGGCCTTTGCCTGCTTCCTCTCCCCACACCCGCCGCCCACCCCACTGCCTCGCTCAGCAGTCCCCCACCACCTGCAGAGAAAGCTGGCTGTGGTCACAGAGACCGTGGGGCCAGGGAGGGTGTGCAGAGCCTCACATGCCCACAGAACCCTGCACAGCCCTCCCCAGGAGCAAGCTCATGGTGATGCTGGCCTAGATCATCCTCTTAAGGACCCAAACCAGGCAGATGAAACGCACCACTCCTCTGCTAAGAAAATGCAGAAGACTGGGAGATTGTGTCTTTCTATTACTTATGGATCACAAATAATACACAGTAAACGCTGATAAACCACATCACAAGAAAACACAGTCTTTTTGGCTAGTTAGCTTATTGAAACCACTACCTCAGGCTCCTGCATGTGCACCATGGGTAAATGGAGCCAGAAGAGAAGTTTTCAGAAGAGCCTCGGTTCTTCACGAAGACTTCGTGTTCCTACTGTGTCCGCTATGGATTTCCCTGATGGGAACTGCTTACAGATAGGAATGGGGCCAGAAACTTCTTGATTTGGAAACCCACCTTGTTTTGGCTATCATCGACTAACCAAGGAAAGGTGATGCTGGGGATTTTGCTTTAAATGACCACAAATTGGATTCACTGTCATTTTAATCCAGTTGAACCCTCATGACAGACCTGGGAGCCGGACATCAGGAGAAGTTATTGAAAGTCTTGGTTTTAAGTTATCAGAGTTATATTTTCTCTCAGCATCCTAACCATTCATGGAGTTGTTAGTCTAAAAACAAGTTTTGAATCATATGAAACATGTGGATATTGAGATTTCCCATATCTTCCCCTGCAACCTTTTTTTAAAACCCACCCTATGTTTGGCTTGAGAGTCTAATGGGGAAAATGATGGCCCTTCATGGGAGTGTTGGCATGCACCTCGAATGCTTTAAGATTCATGAACGACCCCAGTGCTGAAATTCTTGTTTTGACGACTTTTGATCGGTACCCATAAGAAAATTAACTAATTGCAGTTTTCTTTTTGTCCTTTTGCACCTCTGTTTGCTGCTTCCTGTCTCTCTCGCTGTCCTTCACATCAGTCACCTGGGCTTGGCACCGACTCATGCCCCCTGCCCCCCTCATCAGCCCACCGTCCCCCTGCATCCCCCACAGGGCTCCACAGGAGGCGTAAGGGGAACGGGCCACCCCCGCCGGGGGTCGAGCCGGCCCGAGACCGCAGGCACCAGCACGGAGAGCCCGCCTCGGACCCTGATGGCCGAGGGAAGCCGTGCCCGGGGGACCGCGACGGGGCTCCCAGCCACAAGCCACAGCCGGGCAGGGGGGCCACCCTGTTCTCCTTCTCCCTGCAGCTCCCTGGGTCCTTCCCCTCTCTCCTGGATGACGAGGGCTACCTGTCCTTCCCCAGCCTGTCCGAGAGCGCCCTCCTGCCCCAGAGCCTGCAGCATTACCTGCCCATCCGCTCACCCTCCCTCGTGCCCTGCTTCCTCTTCATCTTCTTCTTCCTGCTCTCCGCCTCCTTCTCAGTGCCCTATGCCCTCACTCTCTCCTTCCCTCTGGCTCTGTGCCTCTGCTACCTGGAGCCCAAGGCGGCCTCCTTGAGTGCCTCACTAGACAGTGACCCGAATGACAGTTCAGAGGAAGAGGTGTGTACCTCGGCACAGCACACACGTCCCTGTCGTGTTCGGGGCTTCGGTCCGAAACACTTGGTAGACGGCTGCTGCCATAGTGGTCCTCCTTTCAGAGCCTCATTTACCGTCTGTGCCACTCTGTGCAGAGGTTTTGTGTGCCGGGGATGTGCCCCCCCAGCCCCGGGGTTAGGCACAACACCATGTGGATGCAGCAGGCTGAGCCCGGCCAGAAGTGTGCCGCCACCCGCCGACTCCCGCGAGTGGGCAAGGACTCAGCCACGAGGCCATCAGACATAAACAACCCGTTCGCTCTGTAGGAACTCAGGGTCAAGTAAAAGGCTCTGTTTAGTTACCATTCAATAAAGGAAAGGACACAGAAGACAGTTAGAGTAACTTTTCAGCTAGACGAGGTGAGGTACCAAAATGCATCCTGATGCAGTAATGCTCTGTGCTGATATGCGCCAGGAAAAGGATGCTCCAAGTGCGGGGAAAGGGTGCCGCCCTTGAGAGTGCATCGTCACCATCAGGGTGGCTTTCCAAGGTTGTAAATGCCTCTCTCTGCTCCCTGGAGGTTCTGAAATGCCCCCACCACTCTTTGACTGTCATTGCCAGGCCGTCCTTGTGACTCCTGGAGGAAAGTCCAATCCTATGGGTGTGTTGAGTCAGAAAGATGGACTGCAGCCGTTTAAACACCCAGTGATGTCGGTCATTGGCAGGCAGAAACAGCTGAAGTTGAAAACACTGGTTTTCAAACACAGTCGGGGCGAGACTCATTTTACGTTTCTATACACCGTAAAATAAAAATGGGCTGAAATTCCCTGAGCACAAGCAATGTCAGATCAGGTATTGGGAGGCAACCATGCTGTCAGGCCAGCGTGAGCCCCAGATCCACCCACGTGAGGACAGTCTGGTGGATGAGCCTCAGGCTGGCAGCCAGGAAAGGACTTGAGCCTTCCACCTCCACACCTGAAAGCGGGCTGACCCCCATCCCTCATCCAAGCCACTGGGGGAGGCTACGTGGTAGCTGGTAGTTTTTGCTTTTAATTGCTCCCCTTCCCACCTCTGCACTGGCATATGAACAGCCCAGCGGTTTCCCTTTGTGCAGCCTTCAGTAGACACCAGGGAAAAGCACAGAAGCTGCCAACAGGCCTCTGGCTGACAGCCCTCCTCCCCCGCCCCCACCTACACCTGCCCCCGGCTCCTCCAGCAATTCTCTTCCCACAGAACAAGGGTTTTGTGGCAGGAGACAAAGTCGATACATCTAGCAGTTAAAAAAAAAAGTCACAAAGTCAAAGCAGCACTTTAAAAAGGAAAGAAAGTCTCTTCAGGTCTGTGCTCCGCTAGAAATGATCATTCCAGCACACCTGTGAGTGTATAGCATTGTGAGGTGCGTAAGCATCGATATTTAGTGGTGTTATGACCATTTCTTTGCAGCAGCAGGGAAAAAATGGTAATGACCTGAGAGATGTTTTAAAGAAAAGTTTAGGCTTTCAATTTGATATTGCCTAGGAGCCCTTTGCAAGGTTCTTGGATCCTATATGACTTAGATCCAAATCTTATCTGTTAGAAAACTATCTTAAAAAACCCTCTAAATCCTAGGCTTGAATATATGTTTCTCATAGTAGAAGCATTATCAAACAATGTAGGTCTAAATGTACAGCCTTTAAGAACACAATATCATCTACAAAGGCTGTTTGTACTATTAACTGGTTTCCAACCCGGACATCTTCTATTCCTTTAGCAATGGAGTTAGTCATCCAGCTCACAGAAGGCAAAAAGATTGCCATTTTATGTTCTTCTGCATTGTTAAATAACTGAACTTTTATGTAGCCAACCACACAGATCTTGTGCCTAATCCAGGGTATACATCTTGTTGTAATCAGTGCATGAAAATTAATGTTCCACTTGGGCATGTCTGCGTTACATCAGCAAAACAAATCACAGCACTTACTCCTCGAAAGCTGGTGGCAGCGTGGCTGGCGTGTCATAAACCCTCCTTGTTCCTGCAAACCTCTGAGACCGTGAACCAGCTCCGGCCTCGGCAGCCTTCCCGGCCACCCATGACAGCCTCCTGCCACATGACCTTGTATTTGGCCATCTGTTCAGTGTCGCCTCTTAACCCCAAATGTTAAGAGCTATGTGCTCTGGTTCATGCTGAGCTAGAAAACTCAGATGTAGGTCATTCAGTTAAAAAAAAAAAAATCACCATTTGTTGACATGGCCTGTTTTCTTCCCTGGGCCTCAAGCACTTTGGCAGCAAAACCGGGTGACTTTGTAACATACAGTTCAGCTCTGTCACTTTCATTTTGCAAAATCACTAACGACTGGGACGCTTTTTAAATATTTTGTCATCCTGCTTACATTTGTTGCATGTGGCCGAGGCTTCATTAGTCCCAGCCCTTCTCAAGAGTGAAATCCAGTGTAAAGAGTTGTAATCCTTTCAAACTATAGAGCTGTTGGTCATTTTTTTCTTTTGTCCTTCTAGAATTTGGCTCAAATAAGGAGGAGCTGAATACTAAATCATCTACATCTCTCAAGAGATATAAGATGAACTTAGTTCACACATAATTATGTGTCAACTTGTGAAGAATTTTTTGATGATGCCAAAAAAAGGAGATGGATTAAATCTGGAGGAAAAGATTGATCACCTGATTTAACATTTTAAATTGTGTAAACACATCATATGATAGTCCATTGTGCACCATACATTTTGCAGTTTTGCTTAATCACGCACAGTTGCTCAGTCTGTCCAGCTCTTTGCAACCCCATGGACCGTAGCCCGCCAGGCTCCTCTGTCCATGGGATTCTCCAGGCAAGAATAGTGGAGTGGGTTGCCATTTCCTTCTCCAAACAGTTGCTGTAAAAGTTGCTTATTCAGCCTTTATGACTTCAGTTTATTGATCAGGTACTGTGTTTGTTGAATGACTGACTGACTACGTTCTAAGGAATTTAGGGGAGCTTAGATATGACCTAAGCTACTATTTATTTGTGTATACCTCGGAAAAATAATAGCAATAATTGGGAAGTGTTGGGTTGGCCAAAATGTTTGTTCAGATTTTTCCATGACTCAAGTGAACCTTTTGGCCAACCTAGTATTATATTCACATCAATATTTATGATTTTATAGGCATTTTTAGCTCTGAGTCTGTCAGGTAGTGTATAAAGACTTAGTATCAATTACCTTATACAGTTAGGGCTATTAATTTCCCCATTTTCCAAGAAAGAATGGGAATTAAAATGTGAAGCACTTCCCTCGTGCCACAGAGTTAAATAGCAAGAATTAGAGCTGGTATCATTCTGACATGAGACTCTTCCCTCTTATTATCAACCGTGGCAGTAATTCCAGTGCCAAGATGCTTGGAACGCTGCTGAAGTGAATTCTAAAGCCATAGCGGAAGTAACATAAGTGGGAAAAGAAATACTTTCAAGAACCTTTGAGGCCTTTGGCACAACTACTTAGCCCTCTGAACCAAGTCGTCCTTACTTGTTCTCGAAAGCCTAAGCTTTCCTTGAATTGTTCTGTACCTTTCAACAGCAACCTGCCTCTGTCTTCCTAAAGCAAACCGGCCTTGCCCTAGGCTGTCGGTTGGTGAAGCCATGCTAATGCACCAGCAGGGATCACCTGATAAGAAAATTAATAGCCACCCCCTGCCAGGTGTTGCCAAGATGGTTGGATCATGACAGCTCTCAATGTGGTTGCTTTACCAACCTATTGGAAAGGGTTTCCTGCCCCCCTTAGGCACGGGAGCAGGCTGCCAGGATGGAGACTCAGGTGCACAGGGCAAGCATAAGTGACAGCTCCTTTTCTTTCAGGAATATAGGAAATGAAAGCTTGGGAGCAGGTCAATAAGTCAAGCCAGCCAAGAGTTGTGTCAACTTAACCATGTCCCAGCCCTCCCTCTTGATAACCCATGTTCTTTGCAGTGAAAGATCTAAGAGGCAGATTCACAGCCTTAGAACCCCGAGTTTTGATGGTCGTTTACAAATTATTAATCACACAGCTTCGTTCAAGGGAATTTTAATAGTTGTTAGTCGCGAAGGGAAAGTCAGTTGACATTATGTAAGACGTTTAGGTCTCTTTCAATGGCCGTGGCTCTTCTCTCCTCCAGAAAAAAAAAATTAAAAGTGTTTGTTCTAAATCATAAACGTCTCTAAGACAGATTAAAAATCAGTCCTGAAATTCCTATTGTAATTCTCCAGTGAAAACCTGGGCTCTGTAAAATGCTGTGGTTTGTTTTATTTGTTTTCCACTAAATGTCTCTCTCCCTCCCTCTCTCCTTATTTTTCATTATTTGCTTCATTTGAATGTTTATTTTGGAACAAGATAATCAAATTCCATACCTTTATATACCTCTTTCTATGGAAGGGCGGGGCAAAATAAATAATATATTGTCTTTAAAATATCTAGTTAGCAATGCTGCTTGAGAGTTAAAGTTACACTTTTCATTTGTAACACATAGACCGGAGTCACTGGCATGGGCTTTTTATAATTAAAAGGTAATACAGACAGCCTGATGGTCTTAGATGGATGCAAATTGTCAAAATGATATAAAAAATGAGGGGCTGAAAGTCCAGTGACTATTATAATATAATATTATAATAGCTTTTTATTTAAACGTACATGTTTATTTACCTTTCAGATGTGACCCATTACACTAGAATTTTTTTTTAAATATATAAACTGCAATTTTATTGGCATTGAACGTTTTTAGATCTCTCTTGGGGTTTCTGTTGAAAGGGCGGGAGAATGCCATGGCAGCAGACATGGCACCCTGGCTAACGCACGTCCTGCGGTTCAGGCAGGCTGTGTGCCTCTGGTCTCCCTCTGAGTGTCTGCTGATGGGACCTGGCTCTGGGCTTCCTTTGGCTTTTGTTTGCACCTGCGTTCTTGTGGGAAGGTAGTGCGATTTTATAGGGCACAGGGAAAGGGACTGGGCTCTCGGACCCGGGCATGCCCGCTTTGACCAGATGATTTGTTTTCTCTTCCTGCCTTCCTCCTGGAACCTGATCACCTCTGCCTTCCACAGACGGACAGTGAGCGCACAGACACGGCAGCTGACGGGGAAACGACCGCCACTGAGGTTGGTGCTGTAACCGAGGGGCTCGGCCAGTTGCCTTATGAATGTGCTCTGAGGGCCAGCTCAGTGTTTATTTAGCAGCTTGCATTTAGCATATTGGCATTTAGAGTGGAGAGAAACGCTACCTTTAATAATAAGAGTTAAAAATATTCTGCTGCCTAGACTGCTGGTTCTCAAACTCTGGTCTGCATCAGAGTCACCTGGAGTTTTCTCCAGGTGACGGTCTGGGGTAGGCTTGAGAGTTTACATTTCTAACAAATTCCCAGGTGACAGTGACTCTGTCAGTTGTGGGGTCACATTTTGAGAACTCTTGGCTAAACTGATAATAAATTTTAAAATATGTATTCCCTTAACCTGCAAGTTTATGTATGATAGCCATAATGGGAGGGGAAGTCACGGGGGGAGGGTCACAATTAATTTAAGTAGCTTGTTGACTGAATGCAAATACATTTTAGAATTCCAAGTGGTCAGAATGCTTATTAAAATTATAATACGTCTCTTAACTCATTTTTTTGGCTGAATATAGTCTGGGTTACTCAAAAGAAATGAATTCTCCAGGGAAGAGAAAATTAGCAAATCACTGTTAGTACTTTATGGGAAAAAAAGAAAAATTATCACATTGACCAGTGATAGGAGAGAAACTGCTATTATTTAACTTTATTAATTTTTAGGGTTCATTAAATATTTATATGGCTTTTTGTTTTTTAAATCTTCTCTATCAGCAACTAATTAAAATATTTGTAAAAACAATATTTATCTATAGTCATGGAAATCAAGATGTTCATTTCCTAAAGTGCTAACAGAATTTATTTTTTACTTTGCTATGGTGTTTATATTAGGTTGTTTTTTATATTATCCAATCATAATATTTTCTAGTTGGGTGTTTAGGAAGAACTAAAAAGATTATAAGTAGTATTTACACATCATTTCATTGAAAATATGTTCAGGAAAACATTTCAAAATGGAGTTTAATTGTTTTTTTCCTTTGGAAATGCCAGAGTTCAATTCAAAGCTTGGAAATCATCATTTTTTAATTTAAAGATAATACTGGAACATTATTACCCAGTTTCTTTTAGGCAGTCACACATAAACTGATTACAGTGTAATCATTTTCTATGCCAAATATCCCAATTGCATCTTAATTTTGTTAGAATTAGTTACAAGTAGCTACTGATACTTTCAACAAATTTCATTGTAACCCTAACATATGCTATAAATGAAAAATATTTTAGTAATACTACTTTAAATTTCTCTAGCAGTTTTAAAATTTGTTTATATTGATTTGAAGCATGCAAGTGAAGACATGTAACATAGATTACGCATTTTAAAAATAAAACGAAGAGCTATGAATCCACCACCATTGTAGAGTCAGCATGCCATCAGCCCTCTAACACTTTTTGTAAATACTTCCTCTTCTTTTTTCTGGAGCTGGTTGTAACAGTAGTGCAGAGTGGGGCATTCAGGTTAGACAGTCTGGTTCCCATTGAAACCCAGACAGACTCACCTTGGAGGCAGTCTGCTCCAGTATCACCCGCTTCTCACCCATAATTTCACTCTGGACCTCCTCTTGTGGTTGATTTTAGACTTGAGGATAGTTTATTTATTTATTTATTTTAATTTTCTTAGTTACCCAGTATCTGCCCTCTCCTCTTCCTAAATTTGTTTCAAAGCACATGGGCTCAACAAATTCAAGGTTTAAAGAAATTTTTTAACGTGAGAACCTTTGTGTTAAGTTCTTTGTGCCTGACTTCTCTAGTCTACAAATTGGGGATCATAATAGCCAACCGCATAGGATTATTTTGAAAATTGACTCAGAGAGAGCACTCCTCATTGGGTATTCATAGCCGTTTGATCTTAATTTTGACGTGGCCCCTCACACTTCCTGAACCGTTGCTAATGTAAGGACAGCCTGTCAAGTCCTAGCTGTCCCCTCCCACGCAGGGTGTATGCCTGTCATACTTGGAAGTCTCCAAGTGAAGCATCCAAGACCCACCGAGCACAGAGTCTTTTGCTTTCATCATCTTATTAAGCTTCATAATTTGTGTGTGAGAACATTGTGGTTCACATATAAGAAAGAAATGTCCTCTAATGTAAGCGCAAACAAGTGTCCCCGTGTAGCTGGCTTATCTAGACCCCGTCCTTCGATCTCAGAGTCAATAGCATGGTAAGACTTTTATCTCCCGCTCTTTCTTGATGCTGGCAGTCGGACCAGGAGGAAGATGCAGAGCTCAAGGCACAGGTAGAAAACTCAAAATGGAACAAAAGCCAAAAAAAAAAAAAGCAGCGTGCTAAGTCACTGTTGGTCTCCGGTGTTCAGATCTTCCAGCATGCTCCGTGGCGGTGACTGTGTGTTGCTGCCGTGCACAGGGTGGCACTTGTTTTCGTGACTTATCATGTCCCTTACCTTTCCTTTCTTTTCCCCTTTTTTCAGAATAGTCTGATTAAGCGAATAAAGGGTGAAAATGTGTATGTCAAACATAGTAATCTTATGTTAGAGGTTGGTATTGGTATATACCAGTGCATGCTCGTGTGTGTTGGTTCTCCTCCAGGGGCACACCTGTGGGCTCTACCATGATGCATGAAGGGCGTGTTCTCACCTGTGACTACGTGCGGTTGACTTCTCTGCTTCCTTTGATTCCTTCCTGTCTCCCCAGATGTAGATCCCCTTTCCTGTGTGTCTATTTATTTTAATTCTCTGGTCCCGTGTGAATTACACTCTTTACAGTTGACCTTTGAAACTTTTAATTTTTATGCTTGCGTGATGTAGATTTTGTTTTCCCTCGCTTTTCCTTGGAAATATCACATTTTCACCGAGTGTTTGTGGTAGTGTCATGAACCCTGATCAGAATTTTTTTTTTGACTACTAATGAGATAACGACTTTACTTTTAAAAAGAGAGCGAGCACGTGCAGAAAGGAAATCAAATGTAAAACATTGACCGTTGGATTCTCTATGTTCTGAATATAGGAGCTAGATAAAACCCAAGACGACCTGATGAAACATCAGACCAATATTAGTGAGCTGAAAAGAACCTTTTTAGAAACCTCCACAGACACTGCCATCACGAATGAGTGGGAAAAGAGGCTTTCCACCTCCCCCGTGCGACTAGCCGCCCGGCAGGAGGACGCGCCCATGATCGAGCCGCTGGTACCCGAAGAGGTCGGTATTCAGGCATCAGGTTGCACTCGTCTTCTGTTCACTAGCGTCGCTTCTCTACAGGGTCTTCAGGGAAGGGATCTGGAAGACTTCTGAGTGTAGAATCTCACCCCTTGTCTGTGTATAACCTGTAAAACGATTGGGTGGCCAAGGAGTGAGTGATCGCATCCCGTGGTGCCTTGGAATACCCAAGGACACTCTTGTGCAGGACGGCTTGTCCTAGATTTCACGGCTGAGAGACTGACCTACTGTATGAATGAACTGTCACTTTTTCTGAATGTACTTCCGCTACCTGAAGAAATGCCTTGAAGGCTCATAAATGTTTCTCATCACTTGCAAGATGAGGCCTATTGAGATGGTCTAATATTTGACTGAACATTGTTCTGGAGTTGATAACATTTCAGGACATATTTTCCTCTGGGAATACTATACCAGGCTTTTACTGGTATTTGATTTTTATTTATAATATATATATACATACAGTTTTTTAAAAAACTGGTTATTTTAACTGACATATATAAACATTTATATTATGATTTATAATCAGTTTTAATTTTTAAGAGGGAAAGTAAAGGCCAGATTTTTGTTTATAACATATATATATAGTTTTTAAAAACTGGTTATTTTAACTGATTTATATATATAAACATTTATATTATGATTTATAATCAGTTTTTATTTTATTTTTAAGAGGAAAAGTAAACACCAGAGGTCTTTTTAAGTAAGAGCTTTCCGCATAGAACGAATACTCTCTTTAAATGTTCAGCGAGAGGATTCAGCTGGTGTGACTTCAAGGCTCCCCTGATGTAGGACCCACAGTGGCAGTGGTACTAATCTGACTGTAGACTATTACATGTCATCTTTCTTTATCTGTCTGTCAAAAGAAGTCATTTTAAAAATCAGCTTCTTTCTAGCATCACATTGATTAACTTTCTTCTTACCAAGATTCCTTTCTTGAAAGACATTTGTCCAGGAAGATGGGATAGAACAGAATAAAATTAAAACTTAGGCCTTTATTGGAGAAAACTCCTTTTTAAGCAGGAGTCTATATGTGTTCTTGCCTGGAGAATCCCAAGGATGGCAGAGCCTGGTGGGCTGCCATCTATGGGGTCACACAGAGTCGGACACAACTGAAGCGACTTGGCAGCAGCAGCGGCAGCTATATGCAATGCTTAGATATTAGTCATTTTCTAAACTTCCTTTGAAAGCCGTTTATCTAAAGTGACCACAATCATGACTTTCTTGACAGTTCCAGTCCCACTTTTTAAAAAATGACAAGGTGTATCTCCATTTCAATCATTTTGAAAAAGGCCTTTTTATGGAGAAGAAATTAAAAGTCCGGTGACCGAAATATTCTTGTACCATTGATGATGGTGGTGGTTTAGTTGCTAAGTCATGTCCGACTCTTGCAACCCCATGGACTATAGCCCGCTAGGTTCTTCTGTCCATGGGATTTTCCAGGCAAGAATAGTGGAGTAGATTGCCATTTCCTTCTCTGGGGGATCTTCCCGACCCAGAAATCGAACCCAGGTCTCCTGCATCGCAAGTTTCATTCAGATTGTTTAGAGTTTCACAACAAAATATTTCAGATTTTCCAAAATATTGTAGTTCCTGCATGAGTAAAACTGCCATTCATGAGTTATGGTCAGATTAGTTTTATCATCATTGGTCAAGTTTGATTTACCCTATTTCTTTTTTGTTATTAATTTTATGTTTTTTTTAAATTGGAGGATAATTGCTTTGTAATGTTGCATTGGTTTCTGCCATACAACAGTACGAATCAGCCATAAGGATACACACGGCCCCTCCCTTTTGAGCCTCCCTCCCACACCCTACCCCATCCCACCACTCTAGGTTGTCCAGAGCACCAGGAGCCCCCTGCGTCATACAGTAACTTCCCACTAGCTATTCTACTATAGCTTACCCTATTTCTATAAGGGCTGGAAATAAGGAAGGACACATTGGCTCTGAAGATAACAGATACAGGATTAAGTTACAAAAGCACAAAATAAATTGCCACTGAAAAGCCAAGCTTCTCTTCCTCTGCTATCACTTTAAGGACTTGGGAGTAGCAGGCTGTCTGAGTGGAGGTTCAGGTAGTTTGCTTGGAAAAGTTAGAGTGGTGATGATAAACCAGGGACTGTAGAAGTCTAGGCCATTAGACTTGTAAAAGAACTTTTTCTCACTTATTAAATCCCCTAATTCTTAGAGAATAACATTGATGATCCCAGTCGTGTCCAACTCTTTGCGACCCCATAAACTATAGCCCACCAGGTTCCTCTGTCCATGGGATTCTCCAGGCAAGAATACTGGAATGGGTTGACATTCCCTTCTCCAGGGGATCTTCCTGACCCAGGGATCGAACCCAGATCTCCTGCATTGCAGGCAGATTCTTTACCGCCTGAGCTACCAGGGAAGCCCATTGATGAATCCAAAGAATGTTAATGACTTGAAGAAGTGATGGTTTGAAATATAAACTTAACATGGAAACAGCTGCCATGTCCTTGTTGATGCAGACAAACTGCAATAGACCTAAGAAAGGATTTTTTTTTACAAAAGGATTAAAGGACGGAGGAAAGACGTCCTCTGCAGAAGAGCAAGCACTCGGGTTCCATAGCCCAGGCATCAGCGGCTGACTTAGTAACTGCATTCAAGTATCTGTTGAGCAATTATGCAGATGGTGTACCTCAGGGCTTGTCTACCACCCAGAAGGGAAAACACTATAGGAAGACTTGCTGGAAGTAAAGAAGAGCTTCTTAAAAACAAGGGTTATCAACTCTGTTATCAAAGGGGCTCTGAAAAAGCAGCTCTAAATGGCCTCAAGTCCCAGAAGAGTGGTCCTTCCTGGGCTGGGCAGTCAGCGCTGTGCCCACTTCTCTCACCTTGGGGGCTTCCATCTGACATTCCTCCCCAGCAGAGTGACACCCAGTTTGCACTCATTTGAGGGCCGTGTAGACAGCCCTAAGAATAACCCTGCAAGTTCTTATCCTTCAAATTTTTCTTCATTTCTGTATTCAAACTTAACATGGCTTTCATTATTGGTTGTGTGAAAAGCACAAAAGATAATTGTGTCCTCCCAGCCAGCTAGGCATATGCAAAGTATATTTGTTTAAAAACACGTAAACAAAAAAATAAATAAAAACACGTAAACAGAAGATATTCATCTTAGAGGCAAGATATTTTTCTAGATAAATTACTCATTTGACCTTACCCATTCAATTAATGTATCTCACTTTAAATTAATTAAACAGTAATTTGCCAGTTTTAGAAAGAGGTCTAATTATTTCTAAAAGAAGGTATTTAACTTAATTTTTTTAAGTGACATCTGAAAGTCATATTATTTGTGTCAGAAGGGTAACGGAACTTTGATTTAGTGACCCTAAGCTTAGTTGGATTTTATTTTTGTCAATCTCAGTGATATAAGTGTTGTTTTGGAAAAATAATATAATGACCCCTGATTTTTAATGAACCTTCTTTTTTCTTTATCTATGGTGGTCGAACTCTAAGTAAATCTATTTTGCTACCAATTTATGAACAATTAAGAAAATTAGGAGTTGGAAATATAATGAGCTAGTAATTGGATCATATTCTTACAATATAATGTATGTTTAATGTAAAGTGTGAATTTCATTACCAGTTGTTTCACATTTCAAATGTTTGAGGTCATAGCAGACAAGGCCACGATGCCCCAAAGAAGCAAATGATAGCAAATCCTCCTGAACTTTGTAAAACAGACAAACCCGCACATATAGAGCCCATGGAATGGAGGGTAGATGGATGAGATGTGAAAGGTGTTGGGTACATCTTCTGTCCACAGATATGTCCCATGGCAGCCTTTTTGTGATGCAGTCACAGGCCTAGTCCATATCAGGGGAATAGTGAAAGTGTTAGTGGCTCAGTTGGGTCTGACTGTTTGCAACCCCATGGACTGTAGCCCACCAGGTTCCTCTGTCCGTGAAATTTTCCAGGCAAGAATACTGGGGTGGGTTGCCATTTCCTTCTCCAGGGGATCTGCCCGATCCAGGGATTGAACTCTGGTCTCCCACATTGTAGGTGGATTCTTTACCATCTGAGCCACCAGGGGAATATTCTTTCGTGGTTATTTGAATACTGAGAATTTCCACATTCTAACCACAATGCAATACAGGTTAGCACTTACACATTGCCGGTGCTGTCCCCTTTTTTAAGGTGACAGGCAGTTTTACTGGTATATAAGCTTAGCACAATCAACCCTCCCTATTCATGGATTCCAGATTGTGCACATTCACGTACTCACTGAAATTTATTGTGATCCTAAAATACTAAACATTTTCATTATAATTTGCAGACAGGTGCAAAGTGGTAAAAAATAAATAAATAAATAGTTACCCAAGGCATTCCCAGATAAGGTTGAACAGATAACAAGTTTCAGATCTCATACTGTAAGCAGGTGTCCTTTTCATAGCCTGTTGAGTGCCCTGTTTTTGCTTTTTTGTGTTCTTGTTGGTGATTTTCACTGTCTAAAATGACCTCCAGGCATAGCACTAAAGCACTCTCTAGTTCCCAAGTACAGGAAGGCTGTGATGTGCCTTATAGGAAAATATCTATGTCAGGTAAGCTTTGTCCAGGATTAAGTTACAGTGCTGCTGACTGTGAGTTCGATGTTAATGGATCAATAATATATATTAAAGAAATGGTCTTTGAACAGAAACACACATAAAACAAGGTTATGCACTGATCAGTTGATGAAAATTTCATGACCAGAGGCACCCAGGAACCTGACCCTGTCTTTCCTCTAGGAGCCATGGTTCAGCACTCACTAATTGCATGCTCACTGATTCAGTATTCACTAGTCCAGTGTTCACTGGTTCAGTGTTCACGACAACTTTATAGACCATAATTGTCATGAATACCTAGAATCAACTCTCTTTATGCATTTTTCTGCTTTCTTGTCCAGGTTTACTTTTGCTATTCAGGTCTCAGATGGCCCTTAAATTGGGCCAAAAAAAAAAAAAATGCATTCACCATGGATCATCTATAAATGCTAGAGAGAACCATCTTTATTCTCTGAATCTGACTTCTGTGACTTTCCATTTAGACCTTGGGGTGCAACTCTGGATGCATATTCCAATCACCTACAAGACTTTTAAACTACTGATACCTGGGTTCTGCATCAGAGTGTGATTTAATTAGAGGTGCACCTCACACATTACTCTTACTTAAAAGCTTTCCACATAATTGTAATGCACAACCAAGTTTGAGAACCCCCAACCCAAGCAGAAATGAAAGTCACAGCTCCATAGAGACCCTTATGAGCGAGTAACAGCTCTGTGAATTTTGCAGGCAACTGTAGGGCCTTGTGTCCCAATTATGACACAGACATGAATGTTTAAGTAACTAAGTGAAATAGAATGTGCATCTGACTCTGTCTTGAAAGTGAAGTCACTCAGTTGTGTTCAACTCTTTGAGACCCCATGGACTATCTCCCACCAGGCTCCTCCATCCATGGGATTTTCCAGGCAACAGTACTGGAGTGAGTTACCATTTCCTTCTCCAGGGGATCTTCCCTACCCAAGGATCAAACCCTGGTCTCCCGCATTGCAGGCAGACTCTGTCTTAACCCCTAGAAAATGTCTCGATCATCAGCTTTTCTTTATCGATACATCTTCACTTCTCTTTAGTCAAATTCACTGGGTTGGAGTTGATCATACATAGGATTAATGGTAACATTTGTCCCCTCATGTTACCCTTTTCTGTTATAGGGTATGCACAGTTCTGAATGCAGACCATGTGGACATTTTTAATTATAGACACAGATGTTTTTAAAATTAGTTGATGTCAGATAACAGGATATGCTGAAAACCACTGTTTTCCTGCTGCTGGGTCTTTTTTTTTAAGCTTTCATCCTAGGAAAAACATTTAGCTCAGTGATTATAATTAGAAGCCTAGTCTTGGTATTCTGAAAAGTACCTATAATTTCAACCTTTCCTTCCTGTTTCTTATTTCTGTTGGAAAAAGAGGCTCTGATTGAAAGTTTAAAGCATAAATCCACATTTAATGATTCCACAGGGTACATTTTGTCTCTTCCAATATCTTTCTCCAAAATGGGGCAGGACAGGAATTTTTTTTCCCCTTCAAAATGTCTTCTTTGTTCCTTATTTAAAAGGAGCGTCTGAGAGCAATGCTATCAGAATCTGTCAGCAGGCCCTTCTAGAGAACATTCCAGATGCTCCTCTATAACCTCTTGCAGGAAAATGATTAGAGTACTGAAAGCTTTGTAAACACATACATAGGAATTTTAAATACCTCTGATAAAATTATACTGCTTAACAAACAGCAAGTTTTATTTTCAAAGTTCCATTCATCTAGATACTTTGAACTCTGTTATTATTTTTAAATTGCTTGACCCAAATGTCCTTTCTGTCACTATTCTGTGGAGTTTTATTAGCTACTGAGCCTGTGCAGAGAGACAGGCTCAGTAATTAATGTACTGTCCCTTGAATTATGCCTTTTTAATACTAAAGAAAGAAATAAAAATAGATGAAAGGAAAACACCTATTTTAACATACCATATGTAATGTTTTTCTTAAGTTTATATGTTAAAGACAAGTATGATTTGAAATACTTAATTCTTCACCAAGATATTCTGAAGCTGACTTTTCAGAATTACTCGCTATGTTATAGAAGTTCAAAAAAGCTATAATCTTGAGTATATTTTGTGTTTATTTGTAGAATAAAGACCTCAAGCTAGGCTGGGTTTTTCAGATTAGTAGGTAATACAATGATCCATGTGTATTTCCTTCCTCTGCATCAGGCAGCTCTTTAGTGCAGAGTATGATCAAGAATTTGTCCAAAATGGAAGGGAGGATTTATTCCTAACTTTTTTTTTTTTAATCTTAGCGTTTTCATTTGAATACTCATTTCCACAGTATTGCAGATGACAGCCATATAAACACCTAGTGAGACTCCAGGAAATCCTTTATTCCACTCTTGCATGTTCTATGTTTGTAAAAACGAGAAATGTTTGAGTTCTAAAAACATCGGAGAGTCACAGAATAATGTTACACTTTGGAAGTAATTAATTCAACTTTGAGATTAATTTTCCAAATTAACAGACAATAATTCTTCTGGGAAAGAAAAAGAATGACTATTATATGTGTAGAACAAGAAACAAGCTCTCTTCCTAACTTGCTTTTTTGGAAACTGTCTGCTTCCTCCTCTCCCACCCAACCCCCTTTATTCAAACAGACTGAAGAAGAAAGGGAGATTTCTGAAAAGGTTCTATTTTTGCAGCAAGGAAGCTCTCCATTCTTTGAGTCTCAGGTAAAAAACAAACATTAAGGAATCAGAGGGAATTGCTCTTCAGATTTCAGTGTCATTCAAATATCTTTAGTTTTTTCTTTCCTTTTAAAATTTACCTTGCTTGCCACCAAGGTAGGTATATCATTTTTGCTTAGATTCCGGGGAGGGAAAATAGGGAATTTTCTTACTATTTTAGTTATCTGTTAGCCATCATTTCTTTGTGGCCTTTGCTTCTCAGTGATTGTGTCTGTGTTTGGTCATTGAAGCATTATGATTATAGTTTGTAATGATATTATTGAGCCTTTTTACTGTCTCTTTCACCCATAGAGCCATGCTAATTCAGATGATCTTGATTGACTTTGAAAGTTCTGAACTTTTATTGGTTTTCCCACTAGCCCAGTGTGATACAGAAAATTCAGGAAGGAGACTCAGCAATCTCTGTGGTTACCTCTCGTCAAATCATTTTCCAGAAAACTGTCCCGTCGACCCTAGAGGTTACTTTTCAATTCATTTCATTTACTCCAGCACCAGTCTGTAGATGGATCTGTAATCTTCTTTCTTAAGCCCCGCCCCCTCCAATTCTAGCTTCAAGTTTTCAGGCAAGGATAAATAAGAAAGTAAAAAACATCCAAGATCAAAACGTAAACCAAGGCACTCCCCTCCCTGCTCCCGGCTGGGTTTCTCTTCCCTCTGTAACCTGTTAGACTAAGCTACCTGCTAACCTCTGCATAGGTTTCCCAAATACAGAAGTTTCGTAACTCCTGTTTCTTCTGCCTTTTTGGAACTAACACTAAGGAAACTGGCAAGGAAACTCCTGAGATAATGAACTTTGGTTGTAAGTAAGTTCAGAACAGTGTGCAGACAAGTATAGCCTATTTTTTAAGAGGCTCTGACAATGTGCTAACAGTGGGAAATAGTTCATTACCATGCCTGGAACACAGGTGCACTCAGTATTTATGGATAATAAGTGCTAGAGTGGATTCCAGCACCCATATGAGGAAATATAATTCACAAACACGGAAAATGATTTTCACCGAAGTTTGTGGAAATGCTATCATGTACTTTGTGAGAACAACAGATGTGAAGTGCAGTGTTCTATTTCACATGGAAAACAGTCTTTTCTGTGTCCACCTGAGTAAGGCTTAATAACTTGTACAACAACTTCAAAAAAGGTTATATAATAATCTTGAAATACAAAATGATCAGACATTGAGTATAAGATCAGATATATTCCTTGTAAAATTTACCACTAAAGTATTTCAAGAAGTCTGAAATTGCAGGTCTACAATAGACCGTACTCTGAGTTGAAGGCTAGAATTAATACATTTCAGATGAGAAGAGATTGCAGCCGTAATTAATAGATCACAACCCCTGCCCTGGACACTCACCTCCCAGACCCAAGTGTAGCTCTTCATCTAGATTGCCTTTTTTAAAGGATTCTTATTTTAGAAATGAAATACCATAAGAATTTCTAATTTAGCTTTTATATTTCAAATATAGGGCACAGAGGATTGGGTTATTGTAGACAAAGTGCCCACTGAGGTAGCTGATGGTGATTCGAAAAAGACTGTGACGTACAAGGTGGTGACCTTGAGCAGTAGAACTGGTGACATCCCCGCCGACCTCTTAGGATCGAGCACCATGGAAGTGCAGAGCTTCGAAGACTTGGCCCAAGAAATGCACTTGAAGGAAGAGAACAAGCAGAAGATATACACGCTCGGAAAGTCCTATGACACCGTGTCCGGAAAAATTGTCACGATGACCGGAAAAGGCAAAGAAGGCGAGAAGGTGGTGTCGCCCTCCACTGTGGAGCAGGGACTAGCCGAGTCCATAAAGACCCCCCTCGTCCTGGCCGAGTTCGAGGTCCTGGGAGCTGTAGCTGAGGACAGGGCCAGGAGGGGGGCCGAGGTCCACACCCCGAAGCGGAGGCTGTCAGAGTCGCTGGCCCCCATCAAGGAAGCCGAGTCCCGACGGCAGAGCCCGGAAGACGATGCTGTGGGGAAAGCCCAGGTGTCCGGGAGGGATGCTGGCCTGGAGGGCCCGCGACTGGGCCGAGCGGAGCCCGAGGCCGAGGCCTTGAAGGTGGGGCCCTTTGGTCCCCGCAGGAAGAGCCTGTCTGAGTGGAGGTACTCGCAGGAACCGGCCGTCACCATCGCCACTGCCCGTTATGTCGTCACCAAGTCGGCCGCGTCCCGAGTCGTGGTAACCGGGGCCGCCTTTGGGCCGCCGTTTCCGATTCCAGCATGACTTTGCAGAGGCAGCCCTTCCACCCCAGCCTTTCCGTTTCTCTGGCTGTTTGGCTTATGTTGAGAGCCGCCAACCCGAGCTTTTTGGTTGTTTTCATGGTTAAAGTCACCACGCGGTCCGACGTGCGCCTTGAGACACCTGCCGTTTTATTTCAGCTCTTGTCCCCGAGGTGGGGTGGTGCTGCCGGCCTTGCGGGGGCCAGGAAAGGATCCGCTTCACCCAGCACCGCCCCAACCCAGGAACTCTCTCCGCTTTCCCGAACCAGAGCCCCTGCTCACCCCGATGACTGGCTGTTTTGAGTTCCCCTCCCTTTCTGTAGCTCCGCCATCCCTCGCCCCGGGTCCCACGCCCACCGTTGTGTCTCTCCGGTTGTGAATGTGTACATGCCCACGTGTGTCCCGACCACTGTGCCTGACTCTCCATTTCTCTGTTCACTCAGACCAAACAGACTTCTGGCGAAAAGCTCATGGACGGCTCAGAAATCCTCAGCTTATTAGAGTCCGCGAGAAAACCGACAGAGTTCATAGGCGCGGTCACTTCCACTTCTCAAAGCTGGGTGCAGGTGGCCGTTTGTTTCCATGCCCCGTGTCTCTGCTCTGCCTTTTTGCCTTTTTTTTTTAATGCCTTTTTTATGTGTGTGTGTGTGTGTGTTTTCTATCCAGGTGGCTTTGCCTTAAATACCTGAAAGGGTCTTCACTTCCACCCCTCTGTGCCTGCCCCATATATACATCACATATCTTCAGTTCCATTACAAGAACATACTTCAGATGTTCAGAAAGTAATCTTGCTGACACATTTTAACAGCATTTAATTTTTAAAGCATCTTATATCATCTGTCAGGTCTGAAGAAGCCGCTGAGACCGATAAGCATGTGCTCCAGTGCTTTCGTTTTGTTTTGATTTTTAAACTGCATTTTATACCGCGCTCTGTTTATTTTGCAATATCCCAGAGGAGCAGCACAAGTTTGAGTGTGTGTGTCAGGGTATCAAAGATTCTGGTGGGGGGAATGAAAGTTAAATTATATTTTCTGTAAGTGCTGCTGGGTATAAACACAGGTACCCCAGTGACTAGCTTCTTTTGTTTTTTTGCCTTTTGACCTTTGCTTGGTGGAAAGTCATGCTGACGCCACAATTTTTTTTTTCCCATGCAGAAAACAGAAGCCAAGACAGAGTCCAGTGACATAGAGGCGGAAACAGCCCAGCAACCCCAGCCGCCTAGTGTGGAGAAGGTTGTGCAGGAAACAGTGTTGGTGGAGGAGAGACATGTGATGAATGTGCATGCAAGCGGGGATGCTTGTTACGCAGCTGGAGATGACGTGGACACTGCAACCCAGGCAGCACCTGCTGATGCTTCTGATGCAAAAGGGAAGGAGGGCTCAGCTCTTACTGAGGGAGCAAAGCAGGAGAAAGGGGAGGTGGCCGATAAAGTTGTTGTGGAGCAGGATGAAATGGCCACTGCTTCCTGTGAGCCAGAGGAGGAGCAGAGTGCAGCCGTCCACGTTTCAGAAACTTTGGAACAAAAACCTCATTTTGAGGTAACTAATAGTTAATATTCCTTGTAGCACTTAAGTCCCTAAAATTTAGTTAAGTGTAAAGGCGGGGCTACGTGTTCATAATTTTCTAACTTTTCCAAGAGCAGTTTGTTTCTCCTCTTAACTGCCTTCTTGCATGGCAACTGTGGGTCTCCATGCTGGTTTCCATCTTTGGGATCACATGCAAACACAGATAATGATGATTAATAATCTACAGTTCCAGGAAATGGTTCTTACTCTTGTAATTACTGTAATTGGCGATAATTGGGAGATGCATGGCCAGCCAAGATAGTAGAAAACTTGATAGATCTATTTCTGATCAGTGTACTTCCAGGCTTGCCAAGGCACCAAGTGCTGGCATTTATTCTTTGTTTTCTTTTATTGAGATTCCAGAAGTATGTGTAGGCAGGGGTGGTTCAATGTCTTACTACTTGCTCCTTTTCTCTATGAAGTTATTCAATAAAAGGCTAATTTATGGTTTTGTGGTTTCTTTTAGACATTTTTATTTTATTTTTTTTATTTTATTTTTTTTCCATTTATTTTTATTAGTTGGAGGCTAATTACTTTACATCATTGCAGTGGTTTTTGTCATACATTGAAATGAATTAGCCATGGATTTACATGTATTCCCCATCCCGGTCCCCCCTCCCACCTCCCTCTCCACCCGATCCCTCTGGGTCTTCCCAGTGCACCAGGCCCGAGCACTTGTCTCATGCACCCAACCTGGGCTGGTGATCTGTTTCACCCTAGATAATATACATGTTTCGATGCTGTTCTCTTAAAACATCCCACCCTCGCCTTCTCCCAGAGTCCACAAGTCTGTTCTATACATCTGAGTCTCTTTTTCTGTTTTGCATATAGGGTTATCGTTACCATCTTTCTAAATTCCATATATATGTGTTAGTGTACTGTAATGGTCTTTATCTTTCTGGCTTACTTCACTCTGTATAATGGGCTCCAGTTTCATCCATCTCATTAGAACTGATTCAAATGAATTCTTTTTAATGGCTGAGTAATATTCCATGGTGTATATGTCCCACAGCTTCCTCATCCATTCGTCTGCTGATGGGCATCTAGGTTGCTTCCATGTCCTGGCTGTTATAAACGGTGCTGCGATGAACATTGGGGTGCACGTGTCTCTTTCAGATCTGGTCAGTGTGTATGCCCAGAAGTGGGATTGCTGGGTCATATGGCAGTTCTGTTTCCAGCTTTTTAAGAAATTTCCACACTGTTTTCCATAGTGGCTGTACTAATTTGCATTCCCACCAACAGTGTAAGAGGGTTCCCTTTTCTCCACACCCTCTCCAGCATTTATTGCTTGTAGACTTTTGGATAGCAGCCATCCTGACTGGTGTGTAATGGTACCTCACTGTGGTTTTGATTTGCATTTCTCTGATAATGAGTGATGTTGAGCATCTTTTCATGTGTTTTTGTGCCATCTGTATGTCTTCCTTGGAGAAATGTCTGTTTAGTTCTTTGGCCCATTTTTTGATTGGGTCATTTATTTTTCTGGAGTTGAGCTGGAGGAGTTGCTTGTATATTTTTGAGATTAATCCTTTGTCTGTTGCTTCGTTTGCTATTATTTTCTCCCAATCTGAGGGCTGTCTTTTCACCTTGATTATAGTTTCCTTTGTTGTGCAAAAGCTTTTAAGTTTCATTAGGTCCCATTTGTTTATTTTTGCTTTTGTTTCTAAAATTCTGGGATGTGGGTCATAGAGGATCCTGTTGTGATTTATATCGGAGAGTGTTTTGCCTATGTTCTCCTCTAGGAGTTTTATAGTTTCTGGTCTTACATTTAGATCTTTAATCCATTTTGAGTTTATTAATTTATGGTTTTTAATCTATTAAAATTAGTTCTTGAGATAGAAGAGAGGGAATATAAAAATGTGGATGTTTTTTCAGTTTCCTTCAAAATGTTTTCCTTTACCTGGAACATTCCACATGAATTCTGGGAGACTCACATATACCTGTCGTGTGCCTCATTCCCCAATTTACCCCCATGTAATACATAAGCATTTATTTCATACTAACCTGTGCTTATATATCCACCAAGAGGGGAGGGGGAAAATACGTGTGTCTGTGCAAAATTTAAGAACCACTCTGCCTCTTCCCATTGGTATAGTCTTCAACTGTGAAGACAGAAACCATCAGCTTTGGCAGCGTTTCACCAGGAGAAGTAAAGATAGAAATTTCTACCAAGGAAGTTCCAGTAGTTCACACAGAAACAAAAACCATAACATATGAATCGTCACAGGTAAGACAGTCTATGAAGCCCGGAGCCCTGGCACCTGTTTCACCCTGTGCATGACTTCTGCACCTGAGTGTAATTAGTGAAAGTGGTACTCAGTCATGTCCGACTCTCTGCAACCCCACAGGTTGTAACCTGCTAGGCTCCTCTGTCCATGGGATTTTCCAGGCAAGAAAACTGGAGTGGGTAGTCGTTTCCTTCTCCGGAGACCTTCCCGACCCAGGGATTGAACCTGGGTCTCCTGCATTGCGGGCAGAATCTTTACTGTCTGAGCTACCAGGGAAGCCCTAAGTGTAATTCCATGATACTGAATCTATGAGAAGACTCAGAGGACCCAATTATATCTATCAAAAACAGTGCAATAATTGTAACTTTATTACTGATCACGGAAGAGCAGGTGACTTAAGCAGGTCTTCACATGTCTCAAAATGTAGATGCGAAGTGAAAGTCTCTCAGTCGTATCCGACTCTTTGCGATCCCATGGACTGTACAGCCCATGGAATTCTCCAGGCCAGAATACTGGAGTTGAGTAGCCTTTCCCTTCTCCAGGGGATCTTTCCAACCCAGGGATCAAACCCAGGTCTTCCCACATTGCAGGTGGATTCTTTACCAGCTGAGCCACAAGGGAAGCCCAAGAATGTTGGAGCGGGTAGCCTATCCCTTCTCCAGCAGATCTTCCCGACCCAGGAATCAAACCGGGGTCTCCTACATTGCAGGCGGATTCTTTACCAACTGAGCTATGAGGGAAGCCAAAATGTAGAAAGAGGCTCAGAAATCTTATCTCCCTCACTGTTTAGATAAGGAAAAGCCCTAGCTCTCCGAACCCCTGCTTACACTTCTGAAGTCCTGTGGGTTTTTTTGTTTGTTTGTTTTTGTTGTTTTTAACAATAGTGACCATTTAGTAAGCCTATAATGTGACGCATACTCTACAAACATCCCACATAAATCTCATAAATAAGGTAATGGTGGTGGTTTCTCAGTTGCTAAGTTGTGTCCAACTCTGCAACCCCATGGACTGCAGCACACCAGGCTTCCCAGTCCTTCACTCTCCACTCTCTCCTGGAGTTTGCTCAGACTCAACATCTGTTGAATCAGTGATGCCATCCCACCATCTCATCCTCTGTCATCCCCTTCTCCTCCTGCCTTCAGTCTTTCCCAGCATCAGGGTCTTTTCCAGTGCGTCAGCTCTTTGCATCAGGTGGCCAAAGTATTGGAGCTTCGGCTTCAGCATCAGTCCGTCCAGTGAATATCCAGGGTTGATTTCCTTTAGGATTGGTTGGGTAGAATTTTTTTTTTAACTTTTAATTTGGCCACCCAGCACAGCTTGTGAGATCTCAGTTCTTCTTTCAGTGATTGAATCTGGGCCACTGTAGTGAAAGCATCTAGTCCTAACTGCTAGACCACCAGGGACCTCCCAAGAAGGATTTTCTTATATTTTTATCTTTTGAAGTCCTGGTTTTTAATGATAGTTTACAGCAGCCATGTTTGGTCCAGTCTAGAGTCAGCAGCAGCTCTCGGGACTAACAGGGAAGCACAGTGATTGTGCAGATAACTAAGTCATCACCGCACCCTCAAGCAACAGAGTCCTGGAGAGGTAATGCCAACATTCAAGTGTCGTGTCTCCCGCTTGGCTTGCTTAGGTCGATCTTGGTGCTGACTTGGAGCCGGGTGTGCTCATGAGTGCGCAGACCATCACCTCTGAAACCACCAGCACCACAACCACCACCCACATCACCAAAGTAAGTGGACTGGGAACAGATCCAGGGAGGTGTCCGTGCAGAACCCCCAGGTTGCGCTGCACCTGCAGACACTTACATGAATCCAGGCACAGCCTTGGATCTCTCACGCTGCTGTGTTTCTGATGCCTCCATCCTCACCTGCCAAGTTCTGCTTAGGAGCATGCATTCCAATGCCCTTGGCGTAGCACTTAGCTCCATTGCTAAGTGCTCCAGACGCTCCAGAAACACCAGCCAGCCAAACCCAAAGGAATCTATTCTGTCTTCACTTCTGAAATTAACAGTTGTAAATAACTGCCATAGGAGTCTGTTTCCATTTTTAAAGAATGAATGAAGCTACTTAAAGCTGAGTCAGCATTTTCTACCATTTCCCCCGTGGTAGTAAAGTCGTAATGCTGGTACGTTAAAGTCGTAACGGTGTAGTAAACAGTAGGAAAGTCGTAACGCTGCTATGTTAAAGTCGTAATGCTGGTAAAGTAACGCTTGTCTGTTGCTTTCAGACTGTGAAAGGAGGCATTTCAGAGACGAGGATTGAGAAGCGAATCGTCATCACTGGAGACGCGGACATTGACCATGACCAGGTATCTTGTGCAAGAGGGTGTACACCCTGGCAGGGAACCACAGGAAATACCAGCTGGCCCTACTTTGCCCAGAGCTGTCCTCCAAGTCCCGCCTATAGTCCGAACAGTTTTCCAAGTTAACTTTCCAGCACACACGTCTGAGCCCCTTGGCGGTCGTTGTACCCCGTTTGTGAGTTGTGTAGATAGATCTAGCTCATGAGTCTCCTCCTTGCTCTGATCATGCATGTTCCGCCTCCTTTTTGTCTCTGCCCTCCTGTGATTTCCTGGGGATAGGCGCTGGCTCAGGCAATTAAAGAGGCCAAAGAGCAGCATCCTGACATGTCAGTGACCAAAGTAGTGGTCCATAAAGAGACAGAGATCAGCCCGGAGGATGGAGAAGACTGAGCCCAGGTAAGAGGCGGGTGCTGCTTCTCCAGGCTTGGCCTTGGCTGGCATGTGGCCCGGGGCTTCCCTCTCTCCCTCCCCTCACCTCCTCCTCTTCTCCTTTTGCTCTCACTGGCATTTGCAGGGCTGGGTATCAAGAGGATGGAGAATTGGTTTGCGGATGCTGGTTTGTTTCAGATATACAGGCTCCATACTGTGGACTTTTGATGTCCCTCCTGCCAGTTAGAGGATAAAGAGAAAGCAGAGTCTGCTTGCATGGTCCTGCACGTCTTCCCTTTTAAATCCGTGCTCCTCTCATTAGCCAGGTCTGAAAGGTCATGTTTGTTGGATTTCACTGGCCACGTAGCCTATTCAGCTCTAATATGGTTTTGTTCTGAGAGGTGCAATTTGTGTGTTCCAAAAACTAGGAAAATAAAATGACGCCCATTCTGATGGCAGCATTATCCCATTGTTAGCTTCCTCTTCGACTGTGTTTGGTTCTGGCCTGTTTATGCGTTTGTTTTGCTTCGTTTTACAATTTTACCAGAGCACTCACTCTCACTGTGGATGTCATCTATTTTCCTGTGTTCTTTGGGGTTTTTTTTTTTCCCCCTGAGTGTCTCAGGAGGAGGCAAAAATGCAGTCTTGTGGTCCTGCTTTCCTTCAGGAAATGCATGCCTTTCCAGCTGCTGTTTGGCCAGCATCGCAAGCAGACAGCATCTCCTGTGTGTGCTCAGACTTGTCCTGCATACTAACCCGCCCGTGAGAACTTGATGAGCACTGAACATCCTTGGAGGGCTTTGAATGCTGAATGCAGCTCCTTACACACTTGTTATATAATAAAAGTCTCTTAAATGCTCGACCTGTGTAAAGGAAGTTAGTTCTCCAACATTGGTTTAAGGAACCTAGATTGAGAAGTGGCCTTTCTCAAAGGAAGAATATAAAAATCACTCATCATATTCAAATTAAGAGGGAAAGCAAAAAAAGAAAAAGTTCTTCCATGAGGTCAGCCACTTGGGTGATGATGAGGTTATTCTCAGAAGAGGCCTATCCATGACATACACTGGTGTTTTACAGTATTTTGTCCAGAAGAGCATTTAATAACCTTGTAAGACACTTGCCACCTGACTTCAGTCTGAGGGAAACGCTCATATATTTTCAAATGCGTAACTGATCAAATCTCTCTTCTACAGGAATAACCTAGGCTGCACACGAAGCCAGTCATGCAAACCATTAGGAAAAACCAGAGTCTATATGGCGTTCCCTCTTCTAACCCACTGACTTGTATCTGCCTGTGGACAGTTTCAATCCAGAAGAACTGACTTTGAGCATTTAATAAAGACACTGGCAGAGAGATCTTCCCATAATAAAGCAATCTGAATCAGCACCACTAAACCGATATTGCATGAAGCAACGATACAATTACAAAAAGAGCAGCATTTTTACTTTTCCACTGTGTCTCAGTTTTCAGCTCCACCTGCACGTTCATAACCAACAATAGAAACCGTGATCTCATGTAACATATAAAACAGTCCATGCCTTTCATAGCTGATGATGATTAAAGTCTAAACAAAATTGCAATTTCTTAGGTGACAAATCTTTTGTTTACAAATCAACGAAGATCACCCTAAACTGCTAGAAGCTGTCTAGGTCCGCTGTGTCAGGTTTTCCCCTGATTAGATGTGCCAATAACCGAGTTTATTCAGTAAACAACTTGAATCTTGTTATTTGTTTCCTCTGGTTTATTACTCTCACCCATCTATGGTAATGACTCTCCGGAAATATTTAATGCTCACAATCCTGCTTTGTGTAATCTAATTTAATTCGTTACAAGGTAGTACTGATTTTAGCATATTAATGTGATTTCTTCCGTGTCGTCTGCTTTCGTCCATGTTCAATCTGGAAAGCTTCCCAGGGTACCCTGACGAGTCCTAAATATGTAAAATGTCATTATTTTGGAAAGAAAACCTGTATTTTTGTTAGTTTACCATAATGATGAAACTTCACTCCAGGAAAACTCGTTGGGCTTCAGTTGCTTTTGTTTTCTTTCTTCAGTTCTCCTTCCTTGTATTTTTTTTTTAATTAATTTTTCTTTTGTTACTTGAAAAAAGTGTTTTATTTCCAAATCTGGTCCATATTTACAATCTAGTTCAGAGCCAAGCCTTAAACTGTACAGAATTTCCACTGTAATTAAACTATTTAGCATTGAGTTATAAATAGCCTTCAAGAAGATATATTCTCCATTTCACTGTCAACTACATCGCACAGCCCCTAGTGAATGTATGTTTCCGCATAGCAAAATAAAAATGGTCAATGCATTTAAATCTCTGATTCTCTACGTGTAATACTTTCAGGATCAGACGGGTTTGGCCCAGAGCTAACATTTGCATGACATCAAAGGCCTCATTCATCTGAGGATAGAGAGAGCCTGTCTTTTTTCTAGGATAAAAAGTGCAGAGAGATGGTGAACAAAATACATGTAGATAAACTTTGGGTTGCCTATGGAAGCCTGGAAAAGTACGAGTATCACAGAACCTTGTTTTCACAGTTTTTGTTTTTCTGTTAGAAGGGAGGCTCTGCTGAAAACCTAGTGCTTCTGGGGGCTTTTAATTCTACCAGAGAGACACCTCTGTCTCGCATTAGCACCAGAGCTGAGCAGATGAACAGGCTGGTCTGCAGGGCCCATGTGTGTTCCCGCAGCTCATTCACATCAAGCTCCTCAAGTGCCGGGGGACTAAGAATCAGACTTTCTGTTGCCAGCTCCCCACCTAACGCCTGAGTGTATCCCCTGGCATGTCCTCCCTCACTTCCCAACTTAAAAAAACTCTTCATTAAACTTTTTCCAGAAAATTATTAATATATTTGACCACATTTATTGTGTTACATTGCTCAGTTGTGTCTGACTCTTTGCAACCCCATGGTCTGTAGCCCGCCAGGCTCCTCTGTCCATGGGATTCTTTAGGCAAGAATACTGGAGTGGGTTGCCATGCCCTCCTCCAGGGGACCTTCCCAACCCAGGGATCGAATCTTTGTCTCCTGCATAGGCAGGTGGATTCTTTACCTGGGAAACCCTATTTGACCACATATCTTAGTCCTATTGAGGGAGTCAGATTCTTATCATTTCTCTCTGAAGTTCTCAGTCGGTCCTTACTGTCAATACTAAGTGTTCATTTTAGGAACTGAAGCATCATTTTAATTGTGCTTGAAGCCAGTCCAAAATTGTCTTGACAAAAGTTAACACTTTACTGATAGGAAAATGGCAAGTGGTCTCCCAAAGATGACAGCACCTGGTCTGCTGACTTGGTATCCAAGTTGTATCTTTGTTCCTGGTTTTATTTATTTTTCTGAAATTTTTATTGAGGTATAATAATTTTCAGGGTACAATATCATGATTTCATATTTTGTTTGTGTTGTGAATATAAACCCACCATAAATCCAGTTACTGCTGTCACCATACACAGCAAAAATTTTTTTCTTGTGATGAGAACTTTTAAAGTTTACTCTCTTAACTTTTAAATATATGTTAATAATATGGTATTAATTATTATAGTCACCATGCTATCTGTGTGTGCTATGTTTGCCAAACCTAGAATTTTCATCTGCCCTCAGCAGTAAGGGCTTACTCATTTTTACAAAATTATACATTGTCAAGGAAGCTACACATTTTCAGCTTTCTTTTTCTTCTAGCATGCTTCTCAGACTTTTTCCAGCTTCCTTCTACTGTTCCAAATCACTGACATATGCATGGCTGTCTGCTTTTCATTGCTTTATAACATGACAAACCTAGGGAGCTTATTAAAAAGCAGAGACATCACTTTGCCGACAAAGGCCCATATAGTCAGAGTTACGGTTTTTCCAGTAGTCTTGTATGGATGTGAGGGTTGGACCACAAAGAAAGCTGAGTGCCAAAGAATTGATGCTTTTGAATTGTGATGTTGGAGAAGACTGTTGAGAGTCCCTTGGGCAGCAGGGAGATCAAACCAGTCAATTCCTAAAGAAAACCAACCCTCAATATTCATTAGAAGTACTGATCGTGAAACTGAAACTCCAATACTTTGGCCACTTGATGTGAAGAGTTGACTCACTGGAAAAGACCCTGCTGCTAGGAAGAATGGAGGGCAGGAGGAGAAGGGGACAACAGAGGATGAGATGGTTGGATGGCATCATCGACTCAATGGACATGAGTTTGAGTAAACTCTAGGAGTTGGTGATGGACAGGGAGGCCTGGTGTGCTGCAGTCCATGGGGTCGCAAAGAGTTGGATGCAACTTAGTGGCTGAACAAGGTGTTTAAAAGACCCTAGCCATTACACTTGCAGAAACTAAAGAATTCCACTCCGGTTACCTACTTGCCTCCCAGAAAATAAATGCTTGCTTCTCAATTTGCTCAAAAATTCAGGTCCAGGGTCATAAGAAAACAGGAATTTATGAATGTCTCAAATGAGCAACAAAACAAGTTACAAACCTAAAGGCATTGTGGTCCAGCCTACTGGTGACCTGTGTGCAAGCCTGTGTGTGTGCACACTCAGTCATGTCTGACTTTTGCAACCCCATGGACTGTAGCCTGCCAAGCTCCTCTGTTCGTGGGATTTCCCAGATAAGGATACTGGAGTGGGTCACCATTTCCTTCTCCAGGGGATCATCCCAACCCAGGGATCAAACCTGAGTCTCTTGTGTCTCCTGCATTCTCTACCAGCTGAGTCACCCAGGAAGCCCCTTGTGGTCCAGCCTACTGATGACCTGCAGTTCCATGCTAATCACACAGGGATTTGCAGAAACATTTGTTGTGGAGGTGTTGAGCCCTCCAAAATCTTCATGATGTTTTCTCTGGAGTCACAGAGCAAATGGCTAAGACCAGGCAATAGCCCTCCTTCCACGCTTTCTGCCCAGTGGAGCCGGCGTGGAGCTCAGCCCGGGTGTGAGGCACAGCCTTCATGGACACCTCGGGCTCCTTCTGCAGTGTTGGGATTAATGGACAGAGCTGCATTGATGCTGAAACTTCACTGCCCCAGCAAGAGAGAGGAGGGCAAGGCTAATAATGTGGGGATTTCCTGCAGCTTCACTCTCCTGGAAGAATTTTCCCATCCTCTATTCCCTGTGCATGTGTGCAAAGTCACTCAGTCATGTCTGGCTCTCTGCGACCCTGTGGACTGTAGCCCACCAGGCTCCTCCATCCATGGGATTCTCCAGGCAAGAATACTGGAGTTACCATGCCCTCCTCCAGGAAAGCTTCCCAACCCAGGGACCGAACCCACATCTCTTACGTCTCCTACATTGGCCAGTGGGTTCTTTACCATTCGCGCCACCTGAGAAGTGCCCTCTATTCCGTATTCCTTTCTGATTTCCCAGACCATCATGCCCCTTCTGCTGAGCACTGTGTGAGGTCATGCAACTTGTAGGGTTCTTCCATTAATTTTTTTAAACAATTCATTTCCTTCATTCTTTCCAGCACATCTATTACATTATATTTTCTAAATCAACATTAATCATAGCTATTTTTTGAAAACCAACATGGAATCTAGAACAGGGCTCTAAAATACTCCTAACTTACAAATGAGGGTTATAGGTACCTCCATGAAATTCTCCCTTATCTTTCTCACTATGGTCAATTAACCAGTGTCAGAAGTGTCTGCCATGACTTGCTGTAGAGATGGCCTCATATTTGTTTGTTTAACTTATTTTTTTAATTGAAGGATAATTGATTTACAATATTGATTTGATTTCTTCCATACATCAACATGGCCTCGTGTTTTAATAAGCGTTTGTTTACTCACTAAGTCAAATTGGGTTATTCCATTTTTTGGTAAATACACTTTTGTGGCAGGTCATTGGTGCGCGTAAAATTGTATTCTCAGAAATGACATTTCATTTTGCCCAATCGTTTCTCATCAGAGCTGATTAATTCTGAGGAAGAGCAATGGAGTTATTGCTTCCCCCGGAGTGTTAAACACGTGCACACCCACAATAGCCTCTTGTGTTTCTTTGAGATAAGTGTAATCTTTTAAGGGATTGGACAGGTTCTTGCATTGCAAGCTCAAGGGAGAGCTCATCAACCAAGATAATATGTGGGTTTTCACGGCACCCCACACAACAAGGAGGAACCAGAGTATTCTGGGGCTGAATTTCAGGCTTAAACACTCTTCTTGAATAGTACTGAAATCTAAGTGATCGCTGAAGACATGCAGTGACAAAGAAATGCACATTCTAATACACTATGATTTCATGATAATCAGCCAAAACACCACTGTAAGTCTAAGCTTTGGAAGGGTGCAAAGCGAAAGCCACTTCTTATGGGAGTGTCAGTTGCAGATTTGCAGTAGAATCAGTGAAGATGTGTATTTTTAAATTTTGCACAAACCTTTGACCCAGCAAATCCACTTTGGGAAATTTTTCCTAACTCCAACACAGACATTAATAGAAGTTAATGTACCAGTCTATTTAGCACAATGTTATTCATAAAAACCAAAGTGTTTAAACAGTAAATATTCAGCAGAGTGGAAAATTTATAAATAATGGTATTTTCCTAAGATGGAAGACTGTACAACCCTCAAGAATTGTAGAATACTGACCTGATAGAGGAAGTAATCCTAGTAAATGTAAAAGTAGGTAAAACAGTTTATACATGATGATGCTGAGCAGGCAGACATACTGTCTGTGCTTGGAAAAGACAGAAACATCAGCCACAATGGTACCAGTGATTTTCAGAGGAGAGAACTTAGAATGATTTTCTTTCTTCTTCGTGCTGTTGTATTTTTCCTGTTTCTTCAAGTGTCTGTCACCTTTATTATATATATATATATTTTTTTTTAAAACCGTTGATTTGGAAACAGTAAGAGAGATGCAAATGAGAAATTTGGAAAACTGACTTTTTCCTGGAACTTCAAAGCCATCATTACCCTCACCAAATGTTACCAATGCTTTGTTCAACACATTTCTTTAGCCGTGTTCTGATTAGCATGGTGATAGATGAGTTTCTGTTACAGATAATGAAGTTACTTATAGTAACACTCCATGTGAAATCTTTCCGAATGAATAAGGTTTGCGTTGTATGAAGACATATTTGTGATTCAGGAAGTGCATTTGCTTTTGATGGGCAGCAATTTAGTATACTGTGTAAGTAATTTTTAAGTGTTACCACAGTGTAATTGAAAGATAATGCTTCTCTGGGTGTCCTTAATTTTTACTTTCCTCTGCATAAAGCTGTCTCTCACCAGTGCTGTCTTTCTTTAAACAAGCATGGCCTAAAAAATACAAAATAAAACAAAACGCATAAACACTGGACTCAGCAACCCTGCATTCCACCCCTTTTTGTCACCTTAAGGCAATAACTTGAGCTTTTGGGCCTCGTAACTCAACGTAAAAGGGAGCAATAGCCAATTACAAAGGTTGTTATAGTGAAAACCCTTTGGTTCTATGACAGTCAGTACCCAAGAGAAACACCTGAGGATGTTTTTGTAAAACAGAAAGCAGCAGTTTGATGTAATGACCTGATTTGTCCCCCACTTCCCACCACGCTGGGCATCCCTTATTCTGTACATGAGAACACAAACTGATTTATCTCAGGAAGAGCAGATTGCTTTTGCTTGTGAAAAAAATAGCCCTCTGCTTGGGCGGCAAAAATCTTTTCTTATTAGGATTCAAGCAATGAGAAAGACCCTAGCTAGGATCCTTCTCCGTATCCAAGTCGACATTCACTTTGTTCAGAGGGGCAAAAAAGATGCACAGTGTGTGTGATGACCCTCGTGGTGAGTTGATATTGTCCATGAAACCATGGCCATGAGGCAGCCAGCACAGTGCCTCGCAATGTTCAGCATGAAACCAAAACTACACACACAATGATCCCAAGATTCTGACATGGCTTGTTAGATAAGGTGTGAGTGTGTAAGGGTGTGCACGTATTGGCAGATTTGCTATATTAATTTTCTGTGTTGGGATTTTATATTTGCAGGGGCCCTTTTTGTATGAATAGAGAGTTGCTAAGTGACGATATAGAATATGCTTGAGGTGCTGCGTTTCCAATACCTTTCCTAGGGATGCTCCCCGAGGACTAAGAAGGCAGCTCAAGCTCTGTGTTTTCCAGAGCAGTGGGTCTTAAGCCTAAACATACATTAAAACTTGGGAATTTGTTTTTAAAGATGCTACAGTCTGAGCTTCTGGAGCATCTGAGTCCTGGTCTGGATGTGGAGCTCAGCATTACTATTTTTTAAGAGACTACAGATGAATGCCATGGATGGCCAGTGTGGGGTGGGGCGCTGGTCTCAGGAAGAGACCTCAGACCCAGCATGACTTGGGACACATGGAGTTTCCCAGTGACTCCGTAGGTCTGGGGTAAGACCTGAGAATGAGTGTTTCTAGCAAGTGCTCAGATGCTGCTGATGCCTGAGGTCCAAAGATGGCAGGCACTGGGACAACTTCCGGTTGTTCCTGGTAGAAGGAGCACTGATTTAGGACCGAGAAGAGCTGGGTGGCAAGTTTCCTGACCTACAGTGATCCATCTCCTAGAAAAGGAAAGTAACTTATCCACATAAAAATTATTGTGAAGATTTATTGAGACAGTATTCTCAGCATCACTTAAGGAATGTTTCTAGTGTTGAATAAACCTAAGGCAAGATTATGATCTCCCCCACATATTGGGAGCCTGTGACAGAAAGAGGGGATGGCCCCCTGAGCACCAAGAAGCAGAATGTTCAAGTGATGAAGGCAACACACGTACCGCCTGTAGTCAGGATGGAAATATTAACTCCAGTCCAAGAAATTGTAGGGCAACAAGAATTGCCTTGGAAATACTGATAAGAATCACCAAAATGACAGAGTTTACAAGGAGGCACCAAAAATAATTTTTAAAATATTGCAATGATGCCCCACAAAGTGCTTCGCCATTAGTTGGTTATAATCACCCAACACACGCTCTGAAAGCCTTGAAATAAACTACAGTAGAGAAGAAGGCAGTCACGGCCACTCAGAGGGATGCTCGTAAAGAGGTGAGCAGGCAGGTGAAAGAATCAGTCTGCAATAGATGTGATGGGAGGTGCCGTAGTGATGAGTGATGATTGTTTAATCCCTAAGTTGTATCCAACTCTTTTGCGACCCCGTGAACTGTAGCCTGCCAGGCTCCTCTGTTCATGGGATTTCCCAGGTAAGAATAGTGTAGGGGGTTACCATTTCCTTCTCCAGGGAATATTCCCGACCCAGGGATCGAAACCTGCATCTCCTGCATTGGCAGGTGGATTATTTACAACTGAACCACCTGGGAAGCCCAAGTGACAATTAGCCCAGAGGAGAAAGAGCATCTCTTGAGTAGGACAAGAGAAGCGACTTTGGAATTGATCTTTAAGGTACGTGGAGTTCCCCAGGCCTCAGACAAAGGAGGTGGGGATGGAAGGTGAAGAGCATCACTCAGGAAACAGAAGCTTCTTGCCGGGAACGGTTCCTAGGCCTGGTACCTGATGCTTCCAGATAGCCATCTGCTGCCGGTTCTTCCTCCGCTCTGCTAACTGTGGGAACATTAACCTACATGACAATTTAATGGAGACCATCAGGGGTGTAAGGGAAACGTCCCAAGAGATGATGCCAGTACAAGTGACTGAGGATCACCGAAGGACTACTGATGGCAACGTCCGACCCCTGGAGGAGCTGTGGCTGAAGCCCAAAAGTAGGGCTGTAGGGAGAAGGGTGGGGATGGAGGAGGGGTTTTTCTAGCTTGGAGCAGGTGATGGGAGTTGTGGGGAATCTCCTCTCTAGAGGCGGTAAAAGAAAAAATGTACGGCAGTGTCGGTCCTGAGGACTGGCTTAGGATATCCTGCGAGAAATTTGGAGCTGGGTTGAATTTCTTCCAGCTTTATAATTCTAGATTTATATAAGTGGTAGCTTGCCATGTAGGGAAAGTTTAAAAATAGGAAAGCATGTTCTTCAAGTACAAGGAGAATTATCAAAACTATTTTAAAAGATAGAACTAAGAAATTCAATGGAATTTTTCATTTAAAAAATATTGTTTCATTTTTATACCTATTTCTCAATTACCAGAAATAGGTAGGACAGACAGAGATTAGTTTGTGCCATCCTTCATACATGACTTAAAGTCTGACAGTACTGTGTGATATACTTAATACTAATAATATTATGAATAATCTCTCCTTTGAGAATTCAAAACACCTTTTCAGCATTATTCCATGTATCAGAGTCTTCATATATTTTTACTCACTACAGAGTGTTATGGAGACAGGAGATGAAGGAAATGACCCTCACTGACCTCAGGACATATTCTTAAAGTTGCTTTTTGGAATAAATTCCTTGTAACAGCCTGTTTGTCA